ATGGGTTCTGCCAGATGAGACAACTTTGCTTCTTAAATCTTTTCGTTCCACCTCTGATTGGGTTCTCTTCCTAGCCAGATGCAATGTTAGAGAAGCGTGACTAAATTCTTTAGCTCTGTGAAGTGTAGATCCAGTTGGCTGGAATTACTGGATGGAATTTACTTCTCAGAAGCATAAAATATCCTACTCCACAATGGAAAGACTTGCTGGGAAAATTCATACCACTGAAAGGTAAACATTTCAATATTAGCTCATGGCGATATCTCTCTCTTCTCAAGCACAGGGCACATCAGACTGACCTGTCCTCTCTTTTTAAAAAGGTCTGGGTTCTGTTTGAGTTCTTCAGAAATCACTTAAATGCTACTTTGAAGTATCTCCTCCCCAATAAGAGTGTTTAAAGCAATCAGGTCTCTGAAGGGTAACATGAGAAAACTTCTCTATGCATAAAACTCCTCCTTGCTGAAATAGCAGTGATCTTTGGAATCACTGGATATTCATACTGTATTTTGTCTTCCCTTAGAGCAGCTTGGTTTAGTTAGGTGGTCAGAGAGCCATAGGAGGTACATATAGATGGTGAGAGCTCTTTAGTAAAGGCATGATAAAATGTTATCCTAATTTTTATGTAATGTATTTTCTCATATTTACTTAACTTAGCTTACTTCTCTGTTTCCTTAAAACATTTTTAAAGTACTTGTAACATTAAGACACATACCCTGTGTACTTCTTAGAAAGTTCTCATTCTGCATTGCTGAGATTAAACCAGTTAAGGTATCCCCTCAGATTGCACATTTTCTGTAGAGAGAGGTTTGAAGAGTAGACCTTCTTACAGTGGACATTTCTAACTAGGTTTCTGCTAACCAGATCAAGCTGTGTTGTGATTTGGCAAAAAACACTCATATGAGTGTCGACCTATTTTTCTAGGGCACAAGGAGCCATTGCTGCTGCTTTCAGGAATGTTCTCACAGTAGCAAGGCAGATATTTAGTACATGAACAACATACATATTTGTTTAGTATTGCTCAATAGTGAAATTGTCCTATTCTTATTTTAGTAGGTTTGTTTGAAAATGACAGTAAGGGGCAGAAAGAGCGATCACATCTACCCTTTTTTTTTTTTTTTTAAATTCTCTGGAATACATAGTGTTAGAGTCTTTCATTAAGGAAGATAATTCATCAACTTAGCTTAAGTTTTACAGTCCCCATTGTGGATAAACAAGCTCTATATGGAGTTCTGTTCAGATATGCAATTGATTTACTGAATTACGTGAGTCCTTAAGCTCAGTTTGAATTGCAGGTCATTAATTTACAATGAAGGATAATGATCAAGCAAGTGATCTGTAGACATCATATTTGGGAGGAGGTTCTGAGAGGAAAGATGAAATGAGGCAAATAGTCTGATATTAGAGACTAAATTGCCTTTCAACACACTGCAGGTGTGATCTGAAAGAGATTGTTTCAGTCACTTCAGTGCCTTCCTGAGATTCTTTCAAAATGATTTATTGTGGTATGTGACAGTCAATGAAATGACATCTGCAGATTCAGAGATAATTAATAGTGTGTGTAAGTAGGTCTTTTTTCAAAAAATAAATTTAGTAGTATGACACATGTAGGTTTTGTTCCATAGTTTGTCTTGAAAAATTCTTGTGGCTGATTCCCAGTACTGATGGCAGATTGTACTACGTGAAGTTCACTTTTTCCCCCCCTACTTTTATTAGCTTCCTCAGGCAAGCACATTTAAACAGTAAATAATAACTTGCTTGGTATGTGTAATCTTGATTGATGGCTCTTCTGCTTCAAATTGACTTGAACTGTGTCAGCTACTAAGGGATTTGAATTACTAAGGAGTTCTTCTAGGAACCATTATGTTTCTTTTAGGAATTGTTATGTGAGACTGACATGTAATGGCCTGGATTTCTTACAGTTTCAAGAACAGCAGGAAACACAGGGCTTTAGAAGCTCATCCTGGTTTTGGGAGAACTACATTATGAAATGGGCTGACCACTGTTTATAGCAAGTGCTGCTACTGCTTCCAAGTAGTGATAAAACTGTGAAAGTTGATAATGCAGGTTATCACTTAGAAAGTTTTTCTGACTATGATTTTAAATGTTTCCTTAACCTTTAAGAACCATCTCCTATCTCAATTGCTCTGACATCTGCCCATAGTGTAGTGCCACCTGCAAGCATTCATGCAGTGTTTCGATGGCTTGAAATACATGCCCTTTGCACCAGGCAGCTAAATCTCTGCATGGTTCATACTTCCACCATATGAGATCAAATACTGCATCACTGAAGACTTTCTGCCCTTCACAAATGTGACCCCTGCTGTGTGAGGAATGCTGTTTCCTCTTCCTTTAAAGGAAAAGAGACCCTACCTAACTGAGTTTATCCATCCAAGTTTCCATGGTTTCTCACATAAGAAAAAGGTCATCACTGGTGGAATGAAGAATAGCCAATCTGAAATGAATCCACCTCATAGTATCCCAAAAATTTCCTTTTGTACTCTTACCAAGTCTTTGTCTTCAGCTTTTCTTTTTTATTGAGGCTCTTTGGATTCTTAACTGTTTATGCCATGTGGCTGCATAATTCACAGGGCCAGAAATGAAGTAAACATGCATAAGTGTAATAAATTTAATTTCTTTTCTCTCCTGTGCATGGATTGATCTATGTTCTGTCTTTAACAGTGATAAAGGATTGTTTTTCATTAGCTTATGCATAAAGCAGCTTTTACGTTGCTGGATGAAAAACTATTTGCTTTCTTTGTATTGCAAAATATAGTGTGCTCATTTTGTCTTTGATTTATATATCAGACCTCTTTCCACAGTCATGAAATGTGCTCCTGTAAACAGAGCTTGGTTTATACTTCTATAACACTTCACATAAGAAAATTTGGTCCTTCCCACCCACTCAGAGTTGTCCAGCTCACTTATAGACCTTGGACAAGTCTCTTCCTTTCTGCATTCTCTATCTACAGAATGGGAATAATCATGATGCATTGGTTTTGACTGGTAAAATTCTTTGAACTTCTCAGGAAGAATGGGTTGTAAAAAGAGTCTAAGCATTCCTTCCTTCTTCCATGAGCAATAAATTAGCAACTGCCATGGAGCCAAGTTACTATATATACACTTTTCAGGAATCCTTCCAGAATCCTCCTGTTCTCTCTCTATTGTGTTTCAAGAAATGTGCAACTCATCTAGATTAGGCGATTGGGAAGCATCCCTTTCCATAGTCTGTTAACACCACTTCTGAAAAAAAAAAAAAAAAAAAAAGCTGTATGAGAATTCTTCTCTCTAAGGGAAATTACTGTGATATTTCTGCAGAAGTATCTTTCTTTCAGAGCACAGATTTTCTGTAGCTAGCTCTGTGTGGCTATTTTTTTGTTGGGATAACTAATAGTTTCCAGTGTGCCTACAGTTTGTGGGAGTTTTAAAGTCTGTTCTTAACATATCCTTGCTTTTCTGCCATGACTGAAGTCCATAGGAGTCTTTCCAGAAGCATTCCATGGTTGTTTTTTGAGATGGAGACCAATAAGTAGTCTGAGTATGAAAGATGTAAAGCAGAATTGTCTTAACCCTGATGTATTTTCCTACCTGTATGTTAAGGAGATAATCAGATTTATTAGTGTTGGAGGGGCAGGACTGTTTTGGGAGGGCTTATAAATGCAAATATTTTTGTTATTTTGTCTCCCCGTTATTTGAGTCAGAAAAATCTGACATTTGAGAGATTTCTTTTTCTATACTTTGCTTTCCTGTGTATGAACAATATTTTGGTATATAATCATCTGGATTTCATTTTGGTTTTTTGGTTTTTTTTTTATTATTCAGAGAAGTATTTTTAGTGGCTACGTTTGCTTACCTAAGTTTTATTTGAGAAGTGAAAATTTCTAAGCCAGGCAAGAAACTATGAAAGCTCAAAGCTAATAGTGGAGTTTACATTAGACAAGACACAGTTCAGTGAGATGCAGTGTGCACCTTCATTGTCTGAATGTTAGCAAGCAAAATTGACACCATATGTGCCCAACTATAATTGCTCCAAGAGGGGAAAAGAGAAACATGTCAGAACATTTGAGTAACACCTAATTCAGTTCGTGGTTATAAATAAAGCTGATGGTTGCTTAAAAACAAAACTAGGAAAAATATTATGGTTATATTATTCCTCAACAGCGCTTCCTACATAGGTGAACTTTATTACAGAGACAACACAAGTGAGAAGAAACATATAACAACTTTTTATGGTATTTTTATGTTATTTTATTTTTTTCGCAGTAAATAAAGTGGTTATGAGGCTCCAAGGAAAACGGCCCAGATGTTAGTGAGTTGTATGAAATTTAGTGGAAACAAGCTGTAAAAAACATAGTCATAAAACAGCCTGTCAATGCCACACATCTGGACAATGCAGCTGTATGTTCCCGCTGCTGTCATCACCCTAAGAAAACTCAATAGCCTTATTTCACCCCAATTAGGCTGCATACCAACAGAATCAGAATTACACAGGGAGGGGGTGTATTTTCACCAAGACAGACCCTCTCAAATTCCCTTCAAGAAGTTTTTATCTCTTATTCAGAGCTAGTGCTTCAAACACTAGTCACTTTGTAAACAGTACTCCAAACTGTGTCCCTGGATTTGCTATCTGCTAAATGCTTTTTAATTTATTACTTATTAAAAAGTAGTTGCTTAATGTTGCTTCTTTGTTTAAAACCTAAAAATAATTGACATTGTACTTTAAGATCTGTATGTCTGTTGACCCTTACATATCTCATAGAAGTCTTCTCCATTCTAGTTTCATCTCATACTGTAGCAGATGTAACTTCATTTTAGGTCTTAGAAGCCAAAGAAGAGCTATGTGTCTTACTGATATCTTGTTTTCCTGAAAGTGTGGCCACTTTGACCCACGCGTTGTTCAGTGCGAGGCAGCATTTCTTCATTTCAGCATGCAATATGTCTGTCAAATGCAATATTAAAAATATACAAGTAATAGTTATTTGGGGGAATTTTTTTCTCTGCAGGTGGTAGAAGTAGCCAAGGCCGTTCTAGATAGTGGTGAAGAAATTCCAGTAACACTAATTGGAAAGCTGTTGAAATTTCAACTGCTTTGTCTCAAACAGAAGGACCTTCAGAGAAGAGAAGCTGAACGCAAGGTACTATAGTATCCTTATGCAGGATGCTTAATTAACTTTATGAAGACACTTCCATTCAAGAGCTGTTTGCAAAACTTCAGCTTTCTCCTCATGCTTAACTTACTAAGAAGAGAAATGTGAACAGAAATGTGTTTTTTAAGTTAGTTATATTTTGAAGGGAAAGCTCTCCATTACTCAAATGCAAGCAAGATGGGGGAAAAAAAAACCAAAAAAACAAAAAAAAATATTTAAAAATATTGTGCAAGAACTCTTTTCTTGCATGAGAAGTAGTAATGTCTTAACTGAGTCTTAGGAGCAATAGAAAATAGAGCTAGAAACTGTCTTCAGCTGAATACATCTCTGCTGAAGTAAAGGTAGGAGAGGTTATTACTTGCGAGTTATCAAGGGTAGACGCAGAGCAGCACTATGAAGGTGTTAGAATCATGAATTGTCTCTCTGAAGGAAATTTGATGAAGTTGTCTGCTCCATCCTCTGGCACTATGGCAAGGTAAATTGAATTTCTTCTTAAAACCTTCCACTGCTGTGCTTTAGGTTTTCTACAGAAATCAGTATTACTGCACAACTATCTCTGCAATGTAGCCATTTCTATTGAAAGCATTTCTTCAATTTTATAGAAAGGAAATGCATGAGGAAGGGAAAAGCAGGAAAAGCTTTTCTGCTTTGCTTTTTAACTTGACCTAAACAGAACTTCTACAGCTGGAAAGTTTTGTTCTGGTTTTTCAGCAGGATCTAGGAAAGGCAACTGTGTAGAGTCAACTGCCCTTATCTCATTTGCATTTTCCCATTGCTTTAATAGCCTGTAAAATGACACCAGCAGGATGGTAACAGTAATTTAATATTGTTTTATTGTGTTTAATTTAGCTTTACAATCCTTAAATGTCATTCTTGCATATTTACTGCGTAGTACTGGCGCTGGGTAGAAATAAGGTGGAGACTTTCTTGCTCTTAAAGCACCTCGCTTTTCTTTAATATATTTTGGATTATTTTAATTTTAGACTGGCTCTGAGATTTTGGGATTTATAGTGTGAGTCTCTGGGATACTTACAAAATCTTTTTTCATTCTTTACTCTTAAATTACTGAGCAGAAGTTAACGTAAGTGTTTTTGTTTGAAAATAATGAGAGGGGCTGAGTAATATCCTGTGTGAAATGAGCACAAGACTCTTGGTTCTAGTTTATAGTAGACAGATATTTACATCAAAGAAAAACTGTACTGGTACCATTTTACACCATACTCGAGACTGTTAACAGAGATGCTAATGTCTTAAGAGAAATTTAATTTTTGTCTTCCTTCCTTTCAGTTCAGGGAAAGTTTCTGGCTGATGCAAGTGTTGTAGTGGCATTACCTAAAGCAAAGGGATTCTTTACTCATCTTTCTACCAGTATGCCTTCTATCAGTTTTGTGGGTATAACATCTACCTACCTCTTACAGTTTCTTTTTAAAGTGAAGTCTATTTATGATTTACTAAGACACTATGATTTACTAAGAATATAATAAACTGAATAGTGTGTTTGAGGCGGATGAAGGAGAGTGTTCAAAACAGCTTTACCACATCAACATTACACTGGCTGAGAGGGAAAAGTATGCAAATAAAAAAATAGAACCACTAAAATTTTACAGCTGTCTGCCCTTTGTTCTGCACAAAGGCTACAGTGCTAACTTAGTTTATTCATCTTGTCAGGCAGAAGAGCAACGAAAGGAAAAAATCAAATATGGCAGGAAGGAGAGCCTTGCAATTGAGAAAGAAAAGACAAGAAGAAAGTCAGATGTTAGCCCTGTACCATCACTCCCTGTTAAAAAGGACACCAAACTGAAGCGAAAGGGAGAAGTGGAAGAGGAACACAAATACATTGGTATGTAAAAATTATAAACTTGCTAGAAATCTTGCACCCTAGCTTCTGAGTACCTTGTTTTGTTCTATGTTTAAAAGTTAATATCTATTTGGTAATATGAAGCCATTGGCACTTTGCATTTTAAGAATGCACTGTTCTGTTCAGTATTAGAATAGATCGTGCAGTTCAAGAAATAAAGTACAGATGGCACCAAAATGTTTTTGTGTGTGTAGGACTTAAAGAAAGTGACTAAACAAATCCTACAGAACCTTTCTTACAGAAAGATTCTGGAATAACTACATTTAATTTGTGTCCGTATCCAAAGGTGGCTTTCTTCTTGTATTATAAAATATAACAAAGCTGTCTACCATTGTCTGGGGAGTAAGCCAGGTTCTATACAAAGAGCAATATGGTTTCATTTGCTGTAAAAATACGTGGATACAGCTGAGACCTGAAGAAATCTACTCCAGATACACAAGGTAAAGTGTAATACGCCAACTAGTGCTGAGACAACTTTTGTTCTTAATACATAACATCCATGGATAAAATTTCAGTGGAACAAAAAATACTGGAGAATATGCATGGCTCTAATCATTAAATCACAGTTATATTTAATTTGGACCAAAGAATGTTTGGGCTACATCAACGTAAACAGGATCTCACCCTCAAGAGAAGCACTTGGTGGTTTTTGGATGCATTATGCGTACCTGCTATTGAACTGCTGCAGGCTTTCCTCACTGTTTCATCAGAGCTTTGTCTGCATCTCATTCAAGATTAGTGATGCCCTTCGAACATCTAAAAATCATCACTTCAATTGTTTAGGATTTTCTAGCATCAGGATTTTCTATCTTTCCTTGAGAACTTGGCAGTTAAGGTTCCCAAGGACCTCACACTAAAGCTTTGGTTTGTGTCTGGCAACAAAGTGATGCCAGCTCCCTTTTTAAGTGTCAAGGCCATGTAGATTGATGACACTTTACAACTAAATATAGTAGTTTAAAAATCTTCATGCATATTCCATATGTGTCTGAGGAGAAGACACAAAGAACCTTGCTTGTGATCCTTCAAGCGGATGCAGTGAAAATTATTTTAGCACTCTTGGCCACTCTAATAGTCATAGAATCATTAGGTTGGAAAAAATGTTTAAGATCATCCAGTTCAACCATAAACCTAAAACTAAGTCCCTAAGTGCCACAACCCACACATCTTTTAAATAATTTCAGGGATGTTGACTCCACCAGTTCCCTGGGCAGCTTGTTCTGGTGCTTGGTAACCCTTTCAGTGAATATTTTTTTCCTAATATCCAATCTAAACTTGCATGGGTTTTATTTTTTTTAAGATAGTTGTATCAAGCAAAACCAAAAAAAAATCAAATGAGAAAAATGCTACAATTTTTACTGCAGAGTAGTCTGAGCTATTGCTTATATATGAGCATGTCTTGAATTCAAAGACAATCTCTTTCTGTTTCTGGTAGCTAACAGTTATTTTGTTATCCATCCCTAGTACGTTATCACCTTTCTGAAATGGAGTATTTCTGGTTTTGAGCAATCTTGAGATTGCTTGCATTGATATCTGTCATCATTTGAGTATGAACTAGTCATTGATTTTGAGAACTGACTGATTATTTTCAACTTGTCATAATTATTAGCATTATTATAATTACAGCTGTAGAATGGCAGACAGTCTTCTCTTCAGGATGTATGCACTGGAATTTTTGTATCTCTGTCAGTCACTATGCAGACATCTGTCTTTTTTGGTAGAAAGCATTAATGCTCAGTAATGTGCTCATCAGTTTTTTTTTCCTTTAGTAACGGAGGCATCAAAAGATGTAGTTCAGTTTCAGTACTAGAAGTGATATAATAGACTAGTTTTCTTCTGGTTTTGATTTTGCTTTATGCAATATGTGTACTGGACTGTGCTGGCTGCTTCCTCAGTTGTTCTTTGTCCAAATTCCTAGGTACTTTTATGTTTACCGAATGTTAAAAGAAAAGACAGTGTTGCCAGCCTACTGCTCCAGGTGGTAGCAGCATTCGCACAGCCCTGACTATGTACCTGACCAGAGGCAGATGTCAGTTCCAGAACTTTTTTCCTGCCTTTTTTTCTCCCTTGAATGAATGAGTCCCATGAGCTGAGGAGTGGCTAAAAGGCTTTGAAGTGTATTGTGATAGTAGGCATAAGAAAGCTTTATATTCTATTCAGCTTTAAAATTCTATGTTTTGTCATTAGTACAGGATAGTCTGCACTATGTATGTGTTCCATAGCCAATGGAGAGAGACAAGAGCTTCAGCAGGCAGTTTTCTGTTGTCTCAGGATAAATAACCATGCTGAGGAAATTAAATCACCTGATATGTTCCTGGATACCTGTATTTCTCCATGGGCTGTAAAGAGAATCTATGCAATTAACTTAGACAAGAATAAAGTTTCTAGAAGGCTTGTTTTTACTTACATAATGCTTGACCTTTTGCTTTGGTAATGAAATGTTGCTATGCCTATTTCTGCAGAACTAGTAAGCCCAGAGCAAGCCCTCAGTGATACTTCTCATCTGTGCTTTAGGGTGAATTTGGGTATGCTCTTTGCCACCTAAAAGGACCAGTGGGAGCTGCTATTATCAGCTGATGAGGATTTTGATGGGGAGTCCATTTAGCAAACATAAATCTGTTGGGCCAGGAGCAGTTAGCTAATCCTTCAGAATTATTGCAGCTAATGTAACTTCTCATCTAAGACACAGTAATTTATTGTGTGTCCTACCTGGCCAGCTTCATGCTGGATGAAATGATATAGCTTAAAGTACCATTAGAGTATGTGAGTATGACCTGAAACTAAACTGTTCCTTAAAGAGAAGCAATTACAGAAATGCTGCTACAGCTAGCATTCCAGTCATAATCAGCTTCTTCAGTTCTTCTCCTGGTGCTTCTGCAATTATTACTACTGACTTGTATTCTTTCTGCTGACTGGTTTGCTACTGAAGACTTCAGTCTAACACACATACTATTTTGAAAGTTACATATAGTTACCCCAATGAAGTTATAAAATAATTGTTTTTTCTGTCCTTAATTTGAAGTATGCCTATATGGTCAAGAAAAAACTGAATTTAGTTTAGCTGTTGAATGCCCTTGTTCTAATATGGTTTTGTTGTGTTTTGAACAGATGATGAACCAGATGATGGTGCCAATCATTACTTTATAATTTTGGATTTCCACAATCCTCAGCTGTTGCCTGTGATGTCTGATCTTGGGATTAACATTTCAAGTGTAATTAGAATTTCTTCTGAGAATTATAGGCCATTGCAGACATACTTGGAAGCAACTAAAGGAGTATCTTTGCCTAACGGTAATCTGGTCATAAGAACAAAATTTGTGTAGAAAGACAATTACTTTGTATCCTAGCAAAGACTGTTCCTGCTTTGGTTTTCTCTGTCTCTGTGCCTTGTGTTTGTTCATACTACCTGTGAGCAGCTCTGTTTGCCAGTCACCAAACCAAATTGTTTGCCAGTGCAAAAATTTGCCTCAGCTGGACAGTGGAAAGAGGAATTGACTAAGCAGGCAGTGGCTGCAGGCAAAAGAATTAGGAGGGGAGGGCAACAGTCAAGAGCAGAGCATCTAATGATTGATCCTGGCAAGCCATGATGTTTCTGTGAAAGGGGAAGCCTAAGTATCATGCATATTTTTATGTGTTTTTTATTATTAAACTATGGAGCAGAGTTAGTAAAATGTTATTACTCTTCTAGTATAAAACTGGAATGTCTAGGTGCAATGCTATTAACACAGTGCCATCCATCTTTTCATTTGAAAATGCAGACAGATTAATCCATTGATGGAGCAGCCCTAGATGCTGTTACCCTGCCAAGATGTGCTTTCAAAGTTGAATTTGTTAGGGGAACATTGCCACAGGTGAGGTATTGTCCTGAATCACAGGATACCTTTCATGAGCAGATGGAAAACAAAGAGAAAGGATGATCCTGTGGCTGAGATGAGCTGTTAGGAGCATAGAACTGTTTAAGATCAAGGGACTATTAGACCAGTGATCTGTCTCCAGAAGTGCTCATAAAGTGATGCTCAAGAGAGAGTAAAGGAATGGAAGGAAAATGAAAGAGGTGTAGGAAAAGCATGTGTGAAACTTCTCAACACATACATCACCTTTCCCCCAATTATTTTCAAGTCGGGATTTTCCTGATCCTGGCATGTTTTGGCTTTGTAGTAAACTCCACAGATTTAGTTTTTTTGTTTTTTAAGTACTTGTTCAGTCTCCCCTTGAACTCATAAGAGTGTCTTATACGTACAGAATCCTTTGGCAGAGAGTTCACAGGTCTTCTGCACAGTTTCTGGAGTCACTTATTGGAAAATATCTTCCAAATCATGATAAAGCCATTTTACAAGTTAATTGGGAAACATTTCTCATGGGTGCTACAGCAGGCATATATAACTTGCAAAACCTTAAAGAGAGCAGCACCTTTTCAAGAGCCCACAGCCTCACTTAGTTGTTTTGTTTCAAACCTGTGAGGCCACTGGGATTATAGAAGTGAGGTAGTTGGTCTTCACACTTAGGTTTTAGAAGTGCTAAGCACCCATAAATCCAAATGAAAGCAAGTCAGTGCAGGCTTGTGTCCTTACATCTCTTAAATTAGGCTATAAAAGGTATTCCAGAGTATAATGACATTGAGAGAACATTATTTTTAATCTGTAGCTAGAAAACCTTTAAAAATTGGTCGTTATTGTGCAGGAAAATGGAAAGCATACAGCTTCTATGCTAGCTATTTGTAGTCATACTGTACCTTAATCTCCTTTTTCCTCAATTTCCAAACCAATGAAATTTTGATAATAAGGCCTACTTACCCTATATTTAAAGAACTCATTCACCAAGATATGTGCTGGCAGCTTTGGAAAGGTGCAGCTTGGCATTTTGACATATCCTGGGTTTCAAGCAGTCACTTACGTGACTCACTTTGTGAGGCAAGGTAGGAAGGGTGCTTTTGGTGTTGATGAGTTGTGTTTTGTTTTAGTTGGTTTTTTTCTGCAAGAGCTATAATTTTTTACTGAGGCTTTGTCTTCCTGGAATTTGTTAATCCTAAAGTTGAGTGTCAGATTTTTGCTGAAACTCTGAGGATGGGATTATTTTAACAGTACTTGAGAAAGATATGTGCTTTGTGTAAGATGGAGACGTACCATGGTTTATCTAATACTTACACACTTTTGTTGTAGAAGCAGATAAAAGAAAGGAGGATGAGGCTATCAGCAACCTGGAAGCATTTTGGAAATACCTGTACCCAGTTCTGAACAGTGGAAAGCATGGATCAGATCTCTTTGATGTTGCTGTACTTCACTACATAGTTAAGGAGAGTGTCTTTCCCACTGTTTGGACTGACAAAGAAATGCTGGTCAGTAGATTCTGCTTTCACAATAAGTGGCATGCTTTGGGGTCTGTAACACTTCACACCAATTTAGAAATTGCAGGAATTGTAGTTGAAAATTCTATGAAGCAGAAACGGAGTTGCCGATATACTTATAATATTGAACAAAGAATACTTCTTGTGTATCCAACAAGTTTATTCAACATATATTCACAAGGAGTCCTTTGAATAAAATACCTGTCTTGGAATTTCTTGATATTGTAGGCCACAGCAGCAGCGCTTTAAAGCAGTTTGCAGTGTTAGATTTATTCAACATCTTTACATAGACCCAGTTTGGATCTCACTAGTGGGTCAGATGTCAGAATGAAATTACACAAAAATCGTATTTTTGTTCATGTAACAGGTCTACTTACTACTTTTATCTCAGAGCAGTCCCATGAGAACAAATTAAAATTAATGGAAGATGCTTTTTGATTTAAAATGTTATTTTAGCACACCCAATAATAGTCCTTTTGGTCCAACCCAAAACATGTCTCTAGCTTATTACTTATTATAAGCTGCTGAGTCAGGACTATTACAGGACACTGGAAGAGACAGTGAACCATTAGAAAAGTTTTTTTTCTAGTCTTGTTTCTCAAGTATAGTGAGGTTAAAGGGTCCTGTATTTTTCAATCAACAACACTAGTATTAAAAAAAACACATAAACTGCTATAGCAAAATAAAGCATCATGGCATAATTTAACTTACTGTATTTTATTCTGTATTATTAGGGTTAAAGGACAGACTACATCCTTCTAACACTTATTTGTTAATGCATCACATCCTGTATATAAACAATCTGGTGAGCTAGAGAATACTCTTGATGCTGAAGTGATCAGAACTGGGTTTGTCTAAATCCACAGTAGTTTCTAAGGCATTCATTAAGAATGCCTCAGTTGTGGATACGTGTAGAGTTGCTAGTTACAACATTACTGATCATTATACTTTAAATCGGATCTTAAAATATGAAGCTTATCTGGGGAGAGAAATGTTTATATCCTGTCTATCTTTCCCATAATTAGATCTTATACGACGTTTACAATGATTAGTTGTTTTATTTGTTGAATTGTTTTCTTTCTAGGCCAGGATAATGGTTGACCCTGCGAATATACTGCAGGTTCATCACCAGTAGAAACAAACACATATTATGTAGATTATTTTAAGTTACCTCTCCTGTTCCTTCCCATCCAAAAAAATAACCTACATTCCAGTTGCAAGAGAGCAGACCTTGACTGATTACTGTTAGGCCTTATAACAACTGGAGTAGCTGGGCAAAACTCAGTCCTTACCGAGTGTGGCAGACCATCTGGTGTGGCAGTGTTTAGGCAAACAAAGATGAGGAGGCCTTGTTTTCTTAGAATAACTCTATAAACATTTTGAATTAGTGCAGAAAAAAATCCCTTGGAAGTTTTTCAGAGTTACAGATCAGCTGGTTAGACAACTAATGATTTGTGTGGCTAAGTTACATGGTACTTTTGTATGCAAACTTCATCCTTGGGTTTTCTCTCCTAGCTCACACTTGGCACTGACCTGTTTGAAAACATTGCTCGTTTAATGTATGACTGCCTGGACTGGAGAAGACAGCATTGTAACTACTTGGAAAACACCAAGTTTATTAACGTGACTGCATTATCAGAGAGCAAGTTGATACAACCACCTGGAAATGAGGCAAGGTTACCTTGTGTTGTACCATGCTTCTTGTAGAGAATAACTACTTATAGACTTGAATTGCCTGCCTTAAATTCTGCACTGCAAAATTTTCCTTGAACCATCACTCCATGTGTAATTTTCCGTAAATAAAATTGGGATTTTTGTCTTCAGCATTTAAAACCTCAAAAACAGGGGGGAAGAAAAAAAAAGCTGAGCATTGGGGAAACAGAAAAAGGAAAATTTGAAGGTTCATACAGACGTGAAGTATCACAGGTGTAAAAATCCCTTAAATATATTCTGATGACACTTTCATGTGTCTGAAAAAAACAATATGCCTGTACAGAGCTACTATGACTTATGAGTTCAAATAGTAAAATATTACTAGTTCAATGCAAGATCAGTTTATTTTGTTTATGGTGGACAAGAGCTTAAGTGAGCAGAAGAAAGTGGCTTTTAGGGCGTGTACTAGTTGAAGGGAAAAAATGGACTTAGTCCATCTCTGGCAATGTTACTGAATGCTCATTCAAAGTATTCATAAAACTACATTCTTACTATCTTGTTCTATTCAGCTAGGGAGGATTTGCCTCCCTTAACACCAACCGTTTAAAAGATTAGCATCTAGGGTGAGTAGCTAAAGATAAATTCATTTCTCCCACCTATTCATGTAGTTCTCACTCATTCCACTGTTTTTGAGGGATTTTTATCTTTTCTTTGTTGTTCCTTTAGGTGCAGACAGCATTAGAGATTACACCTTCAAAGACAGAAGGGCAAGCAGAAGTTCTGCTAACGACAATTTTATCACAAGGTCTGTCTAAAGGATTAAAGCACTGGTTTGTGGCTGTTCAGGCTGTCATACCATACATTCGTCTGACAGAACAAATCCTGAAACTGCATAGTAAGCTGAAGATGTGCTTTGATGTTGTGAGAGTATTTTCTTGGTGAATACACTGTGAAAGTCTGTGGAAACTGCGGTGGTGATAAAAACGTTCTTTAGGAAATAACTTTTTCCTCTCTGTTTCTAGTCACTGTCAGGATTAAAAGCTCTGCAGTAATGGACTTTGATGGTCTTTTCTAAGAGAAATTGTCTGAAAGTTGAACTGCTTGGTAATGTAAATTGGCATTTCTGAAGAAATCGATCTTAATGTTTTATCCTCTATTACAACAGAGGAAGAAGCTTCTTTTTTGGCTGATTCTGTGGACATGAGATATTACAATGACTTGCTGAGTCAGATTCCTGAGGAGTGCTTTTCTGTACCCTTAATGCTGAACTGCATGTTGGAACAGGTGTGAATATTCTCCTTATAATTCCTGTGGCTGATTTGGCTTAGACCTGGTATGATAAATTAACTGGAGATCAATAATTCATTCTGTTTCACCTAAAATAAAAGACTTTGAACAGAAGCACTTAGCAAGCAGGCTTAATACAAAGGAATTGCAGCTCAAAAGTGGCTTGTTTGATTTTCTTTCATACTGTGCACTTACCCTGTATGCGCACTGTTATTCCAAAATTATTTTTTCCAGACTACAGATCCAATATAATGAAATGAGGAAAAATATCTAAATTCTTAGCTTAATGTAGTTGATACTGGACTTGTACTACTATACTCAGTATAAAGGTCTTGGGACAAGCCTAACATAGAAGTGGCATGTGTCAATGCTAGTGCTAGACAGATCTGGTTTCTGTTGAGTTCAGGCACAATCTGTAAATTAGCAAAAACCCACACTATGATTTGGAAACCTTCCTGCTTTTAGAAATAGAATTTTAGTGCAATCGTATTTTTTTTTTAATTCTGCAATTTAGTCTAAAAATAGACTCGGGCAAAAATATTCAAAATAAGGTCCAACACCTGGCACAAGATCAGTTTTTAATTATCTGCCTTCATTAACAATTCCTAAGATTTCAGTTTGGAATTTTTTTTTCCTCGTCTTTCCAAAAGAGAATAATGGGAGAAAACATGTAATTCGATTTTCCATAATCTTTGCTTTTGAGCAGTAACTTAACATGGAGAATTGCATTTTTACAGCTTGTGGAAAAAATATTGTGGTTTTCTATCTTGGCCAAATTTAGGGATGTGTGTTGTAGCTTATAGCAAGGTCTGCTTGGTAGTATCAGTGAGGTTAAGCAGCAGTCATACTGTAATGAAAGTTAACATAGATTCTGTTTGCCAGGTTATTGCAAGTGAAGAAGACCTTACACCCCCTAGTCTGATGGTGCCAGAGCCCCGGGCAGACGGGCTACATCATGCTATTGCAGATCATATAGCCTCTGTCCTTCCTTCTCTTTCACTCTCTGAGAGTGAAAAAGAGGTTTGTTTTGTCTTTTGTTCATTTCCTAAAATGACAACTAAATCTGATTTTGGGGGTTTAACACATATTTCTTTTTAACAGGATCTCTATGACTACTTTTCTCCTAAATACAGTGAAAAAAAGACTGTCACCCCCAAGTACCCTCTCTTATTTAACTACCATGATACCCTGGCCCAGCGGTTGCACCTGCTGGAGGTATAGTGCTACCTTATATACCTTATATAGTGCTGTAGTTCTAAAGTCCACAGGCAGAAAATATTCAATGCACTAGAAAGGGTGGAGTGGTGTTATAAAGCAGAATAGTACAGGCTAGAGTTTTCCTGCTGAGATGAACACACGAACACGTTTTTAGTCTCCATAAGAAGCAATGACTTACTGCTACTGAAATAGGACAGATCACAGACATAGAGCATTAAATTGATTCAGTGATCTGTTTGCATTATTAGGAATGTTTAGTTTTTGGGACAGATGAGAGATTTTACAGAACTCTGTTGATTTACTGTAATACAACACTGATGAAACTGCAGAAAATTAGTGTAAGAAAGGATCCAGAATTTGTCAGTGAGTAGAAGTGTGCTTAGGTTTGTGGGGAAGTTTACTGTAACTCTGGTTCTTTGGTTTTTGTTCCAGGACCAGAAGAGCTTAGATCCAGAAAAGATTGAATATGAAATGATGGATAAACTGCCTCTTACAGAACTTATCCATTTCACCCTTCCTTCAACAGAAAACATCACTAAACACTTGGCCAGAGTTCATGAGCTCATGCATTATTGTACCAGGGGTAAACTGATTTTCTTTCTTACTGATACAACTTCTATTTTTTTCTTCTTGTTGATGAACCTATTAAATAGCAGGAATTTTGGGATAAGTTTTTTCATCTGCCTAAAACCTTTGCAGAATTTCACATTTCCACATTCTTGCTCACACCTTAACCTACTCTGCAAGTTAGGGCTGACTTTAGGCCTCAGTTTAATGGTTAATGAGCAAGGCTGTACAAGTATTAAATATTGTGTGACTAAGAGCTGTAAGTATGTTGGAACGCATTTATTTAGTTATAGTCACAAACATACAAACACTAAATCTGAGAAAGGAAAAAAAATAGTTGTATACATTTCTGGTTTGATCCTATGATGATTTTGGGAGACACTGGCATAAACTGTTTATTTATCAACACCCTTTTGGTGGAGGAGCACATATATCTGAGGTAGAAGACTTTTTGGACAATAAGTGGCTTTCAGAAGAATGTATTCTGTATGAGCTCTTGGTGATAACAACTAAATGGCTTCTATAATAGTTCCTTTATCAAACCAAGAATGAATGAATTTCTTCAAACATAATCACTTCTGCAGTTACCTTTCTTGGATCATGCATACAGCCATGGCATACACTGTGAAACAGTCCCAAAGACTGCATAAATACCCTTAGGCAGATTGGAAGGTTTACTGTAGACTACTAAGAAATATAAACATCCAAATCCCTTTGGTTACATTTATGCCATCAGGTAAGGCACAGGATTTGAAGGTACTTTCCCAGCAATTCAATCCTGAAATCCCTTGTGTTGGGTTAATTTACATTTGCTGTATTGTTTCTAGTAGTTGGTATGTTCATTTTGGACATTAAGCTATTAAGGTATTGCTGTAACATTCCAGCTGATGGGTATTAAATTTGATGGTCTTCACTGAACCATTCTATACTGCCAGACTCTCCCAACTGTTTAACTTAGCTAGTAATGTCTTCATTTTGAGCAAGAAGATGATTGGTTTGAACAGGAGATGAGAGATCCATTTTCAAGATGCGTGACAGGCTCAGGTGTTGACTACCATAAAGACACATTACAAACTGAAGATACTCTTTGTATTATTTGAGCACTGAGCTACCGGTCTTAAAATTCAGTCTATTGTGATTATCATTCTTATATAGACACCAGTGTATAGACAGAATTTATTATTGCCTTTGGACTTTGCATGGTCTTATGTAAAATATGTGTAAAATTTTGTCTGAAGAGAAAAAAACAGATGCGTGATTGGAGAAGCGAAAGATAATTTTTAAAAATTGTGATAATGGAAGCTTCTTCGTGATCTGAAAATAACTAGATGCTAACTGGTATGAAAAAGTCTACTCAGATTTTAAAATCAACATCTTTTATATAAAAGTTAATGAGCCAAGAGGTATTCAGATGTAGGAAACACTTCATTTAAGATGGATTAATAGTTAGGCATATAATTTTGCAATTTGGAAGCATTAAGCTTTGAATGCAGTCTGGAATGTAGCTCACATAATTTGATCCAATACCATTAAGGAAATTGTTGTTGGCTTTTGCATGGTTGCCAAGAACAATACACTTACATAGTGTTATATTTATCTTCTGCTGAGCCATAAGGACATTTTTAGTTAATGATTTTAATTCTTTTATAGGACTTCTGAGTTGGACTGAAGTAGAAAGAGCCTTCAGAGTGTTTACTTTTGAAAGCCTGAGGCTGACTGGGCTGAGTGACTCTGGTCTCCTGGAGAGCTCTGGAACTATGGTTGGAGGTGATGCTGAATTGTGTTGTATCCCTTGGGATAATCCAACCATGTTTGCAGGACAGCTGAGACAACGCTTCCTTACGGAAAAGAAGCTTAGTGAGCAATCTCCAAAAGATTCTGGTAAAAACCTTTCTGTTTACATTACTCCTGAAGAATTTAATCTGTTACTTATTTTACCATATCTTTTGCTATTTCCGGGCTGTGATATTTTTTCCTGTTCAAATCACTGAATTTCAAGTATTGTAGAGTCTGTACACTGAGTATCTTTGTAGAATGACTAGATAAAGACAAAAGTGAGCTATTTTGTATGACAACATTAACAGTTCATTTAAGCAACTCTTTAAAATCATATCTGTAGAAAAGTATGTAGCAGAAAACTGTTTTATTGCTTATGACATCACATATATTTTAGAGACATAAAATACCGAAGACGTGCTTAAATACATTTCTGAATACAGACTTCCATGAGTTGTGATGGCAGCAGAGTCTTTACAAAGTCAGTAGCAACCACAGAGTGAAAGCAAAAGTGATGTATATGGTTAATTAGATGATTAGTTGTGACTGAGTATTAGGAAGTGGAAAGGATCTGTAACTTACACATGAGGACTCTAGAAGGTGATATAAAAAGTTGAAAATTAAAAGAAAAGTGTGCTATGCATTGTAGTTATACATGCATACATACTTTTTCCAGTAAATATTTTTTCTTCATTTACAATCTGTATAGTTAGTCTATCTTTAGCAATTTGTATGTGACATTTGAGACATCACAACTGTCGCATTCATATTAGAATGGGAAGATTTTAGATAAAAGGGACAGAGATGGACAATTCTTGTAGACAATGCAGAGTGAATTTTCTATGAGTTCTGCATCTTCTTCTGAAGATTCTAACATAAGGAAAAGTTGGCCTGTAGTTGTGCTGGCAAAGAAGCAACATTACAATCAAAATATTATTTTTCTGAGACATGAGAAAAATGGAAATTAGATCAGTTTAAGCTGCTATACCTTTAGGTTCATGACTTTGCCCATGCTTTCTTAGTGTAGTTGTCTAAGCAACCAGCTTAGATGGGATGCTTTCCTTAGAAGGTCTGAGCAGAAAAAAATTGATCCTGCATTTCTGCCTTTCTTGCAAATTTTTAAAACCTTTCTTTGGATGTTAGTTTATTTTTCTTTTCTGCTAGTCAAAATGCTAAATATTGCAGTTGCAAACATAACCTTCAACTTTTCATCACTCTGCAACAGTAAATACCAATAAGAGTAAACTTTTGCTTTCAGATTTCTTAACTCTTCTAAAGGCAGTCAGTAAACAGGTATAATTTCCTAGAAGAGCAGAGCCTAAGTATACATATCTGGAAGCTTGAGCTGTTTATGAGCCACTTATGAAAAAAAATTCTCCAGAGTATTTTCTCCCAGGAAGAGTATTTTTCTTGTATGTGTGAATTTTCATCAAATATTAGTGACATCTGCCCTTGCTCTGCACCTAAATAATTCTATTAAAAAGGAATTATTAAAAAAAATATGAGAACCTAGAAGTTGGTCTCCAACTCTCCGATATATATCACGTGCCCTCTGCAACAATGGTTGTTTATCAGGAATAACTGGTCAGATCTTCACCAGGAGTAATATTTTTTTAATAGCTTGTAGTATAAATTCAATTATTTTCAAGTTTTAAATATTGCATTTTTCAAAAAATATGTGAAAATATATATAAAAATACCCTGATTTTGCCTTCTTCTTTATGCCATCTGTGCAACAGAAAACTCATTATGGCTTCTTTTGTATACTAAGCAGAAAAATGGTTTGGGGTGTATGAGTCTTGAGGACACTTATTTTTAATCTTTTTGACCAAGCAAGACCAAAAAGGACAGAGAAAGAGGATGATTTAAGTGGATGTTATAAGAAGTTATTTTCTTTTTTTAATGAAGTGGCTGACACTTGTTGTCCCTGGATTTAAAAGTGCATTTTTTGGAAAGAAGTGTGGCAGAGCTGAAAATGTATTTATTAAACTACTGTCATAAAATAAAGCTTCAACTTGATAGCATTCTCATCAGGAAGGGTAAGGAAATTGCCTCATTCCAGCCTTAGTATTTAGGGCTGAAATTTCTGGAATGAATCTTAAAATTCTCCTTTTATTTTCCCGAACATACAGGAAGAAATGATAAAGAAGGAAGAGATGGTCGGGCTGGTCCGGTTTTGAAGAAGGGGCTGAATCTTTATTCTTCTGATATGGCAAGTGTGATATATGGAATAAACTGTGCTCTATGGCATGAGACAAGAGAAGATACTGTTCAGTGCCAGGACTTGTTACTGTGGATTCCTTTGCAATGCTGCATACAAATGTTAATTTTGTGATGTTTGGTGAATAGTGCCGTAAACACTATGAAATAATTTTCTGAGTTCTAAGGTGATGGGTCTTGGTGGAGCTACTAATGACAATCTTATGCTCATTTCTCTGAATACCAGGACTCGAATGCTAGCAGCAAAGATTGAAATTGCCAAACTGTCACACTAGTAGATTGTGTAGTTTGGCATCTCCAGAAACACCTGCTGGCTGTGCAGCCCTGGATAAATACAGCAATTTGAAAATTACTTCATAGAACATGTTTAAATATTCATAATTGCTTACAGAACTCAGAAACATATAACCTAATAATAAAAATATTTAGATTATGGTTGCCATAAAGAAAACCAAGACCAAAAACCTTTGGGAGTAATTGCATTTTTTTATTAAATAGTACCATATGAATCTACACATGTGCAGCATTATGCAATTTACTGTGATGCAACATGGGATGCTGTCTATTAAGTCAACAAGATTACAGTTAATTTAATACAACTGACAGTGAAATGTTGATATTCATTATGTTGATGTGGTGTATTTTGAGGCGAATCTAGAAAATTCTGGCCTAGCAGCAAGCTTAGAAGATATCAAAAAGACACAGAGGCGTTGTCTGACAGACTGGACTTTGGCTGAGCATTTTCAACCCCATGTTCTTCTTCAGGTATATGTGAACTGCTAATTTTGTACATAGTGTCCCCTCAGAATGCTGTACAATGAGTTAGTAGCAGTGTACAGGGTATTTCTTGCTGGATAATTGATTCAGTTTTATCCCTTTTAATGTTTTTACCAAAACTCCTTTTACTTTAGCTGCTTTTCAGTTTATTATGTGAAATTTAATTTGTAATGGCTTTTTATTTCCTGCTTTGGCTACACTGCAGCGGTACTTTTTGAAAGCAAGTCTTTTTAGCCAAATGTGTGATGGAGAAATAATTATCTTGACTTCAGGGGTGATCCTACCTGGCAGTTATGGGACTTACTAGTGCAGTATAAGTGAAAGCATACTTTGCAAATACCTATGCAGTGTATGTTTTCTGGGCAAATAGAAATTTTTTTTGTAGTGGTAGTTCACCCTTTCAGGGCTACAAACTTCATCTTTAGAAGTCTTGCAAGCTACAGACTAACACTCATCTAGCAGAAAGACAGAACAAAAGTGGAAGAGTTCAAGTGTAGATGGCTTACGTTGGTGGGCATTCTTTTGGGAGAAGTGGATTGTTAGTTCCTGTGCTGCCTTGAGCTTCATATGCTACAATTCAAATTCAAGTATCACCTCCTCCAAGCCTCCAAGCAATGCAACCCAACAAAGAGGAAGACAGACAAGAATGTCAGGAAGCTGGCATGAATGAACAAGGAGCTTCTGGATGCACTTAGATGTAAAAAGAAGGTCTAAAAAGGGTGTAAGCAAGGACAGGTAATCTGAGAGGAACACAAAGAAGTTGTTCGAGCAACCAGGGATCAGGTTAGGAAAGCTAAAGCCCACGTAAATGTGGCCAGGGACATCAAGGGTAAACTCTGTTGTTATCTATTTGTTATTACTTTATCTCAGTTTTGGGCCTAGTTGCGGCTGGGCTGGGCTCCGTGTTATTCAGCTCAGGAGAGCAGCTGGTGTTATGCACATCCACTTGGCCCTCTGTTTATACCTTTCAAGGTTGTTACCAGCTCAGAGTTTGCTAGGACGTTTCCTTTCTCATAGGAACCTTTTACTGCAGGTCAGGGCCTGCAAAATGAGAGACAAGAAGCAGCTGAATCATAGAAGGGAACTGATGCAGGCATTTTGAGAGATGGAGCGTCCTGCTACAACTGGAAAAGGGGAGATGTAGCACCCATTTTCAAAAAGGGAGGAAGGAAGACCCAGGGAGCTACAAGCCAGTCAGTCTCCCTTCTGTGCCCGGGAAGATCACAGAGCAGATCCTCCTGAAGTCTCTGCTAAGGGACATGGAAAATGTGGAGGTGATTGGTGGCAACCAGCATGGCTGCACCAAGGGCAAATCGTGCCTGACAAATTTGGTGGCCTTCTGTGATGGCAGTCACAGTCTTGGTGGAAAAGGGAAGAGCAACTGACATAATCTACTTGGATTTGTTCAAAGTGTTCATCGCTGTCCTACAAAACATCCTGGTCTCTAAACTGGGAAGGTACAAATTCAATGAATGGACCACTCGGTGGATAAGGAATTGGCTTGATGGTTGCACTCCAAGTCTAGTGGTCAATGTCTCAATGGAGACAAGTGATGAGTGGAGTTCCTCAAGGGTCGGTACTGAGACCAGTGCTGTTTAACATCTTTGTCAGAGACACGGACAGTGGTATCAAGTGCACCCTCAGCAGGTTTGCTGATGACACCAAGATGTGTGGTGTGGTTGGCATGCTGGATGGAAGGGAGACCATCCAGAGGGACAGGCATGAGAGGTGGGCCCATGCCAACCTCATGAAGTTCAGTAAGGCCCTGTACTGGAGTTGGGGCAATCCCCAGCTCAAATACAGGTTGGGTGGAGAATGTATTAAGAACAGCCCTGAGGAGAAGGACTTGGTGATGTTGAGTGATGAGAAGCCCAACATGAGCCACCAATGTGTGCTTGCAGCCTAGAAAGCTAACCCTGTCCTGGGCTGCATCAAAAGAAGTGTGGCCAGCAGGTCGAGGGGAGATGATTCTTCCCCTCTACTCTGCTTTTGTGAGACCCACCTGGAGTGCTGTGTCGAGCTCTAGAGTCCCCAGCATGGGAAGGACGAGGAGCTCCTGGAGCAAGTCCAGAGGAGGGCCACGAAGAGGATCAGAGGGCTGGAGCACCTCCCCTATGAAGACAGGCTGAGAGAGCTGGTGTTCCTCAGCCTGGAGAAGTTAAGTTTCCAGAACGACCTTATGGCGGCCTTCCAATACTTGACGGGAGTCTGCAGGAAAGCTGGGAAGGGACTTTTTCTAAGGGCTTGTAGTGATAGGACAAAGGGTAATGGTTTCAAACTGGAAGAGGGGAGATTTAAGTTAGACGTTAGGAAGAAATTCTTCACTGTGAGGGTGGTGAGATGCTGGAACAGGTTTCTCAGAGAATCTGTGGCTGTCCCCTCCCTGGAAGAGTTCAAGGCCAGGTTGGATTGGGCTCTGAGCAACCTGGTCTAGTGGGAAATGTCCCTGCCCATGCAGGAGGATCAGAACTAGATGATCTTTAAGGTCCCTTCCAACCCAAACCATTCTATGAATTCTTATTTGATCCTGTCACATGCTTGAAGTCCAAAGCACTTGTTTAGTATCACAACTTTAAAGTCTGGTCAAACATTCCAGTACATGGGGAATTTCTTCTCATGCAACATATATAGCTAATAGTAACTATCAATAATTAGTGAACCTTTTCAAAACTTATGGAAAATAATTGCAGCAGAAAGTAACATTTTATTGCATCAGAAGATAGCATTTTGTAATATTTCTTTATTTCTTTATACTACATGTCACCTGAACATAATTTTTATATCATCTGCTATTAAGGTTTTCATGTTTAAAGAAGGTATTTGTTGATAGGAATTATTTCAGTTTTACTTCAGTTACATAGTTCTGTAAAAATAAAATGTAAGGCTTTCCTCTAGCTATAAGTTTTAGCCTACAGACAATGTAAACATTGAAAATGATGGGGCAGTACAAAACAGTGGAATAATGTAGAACACAGTAAATGTCAAAGATGTTCAGGTTATAGTATATCAAAGTAAATAAAAGGTAAACTTAACTGAGCTTTCAAATTATTTATTTATTTCAATACTTTATTATTTAAATTTGTTTAGATATTTATTTCATATATAAGCTTTATTTAGCCATAAACGATTAGTTTCAGAAAGTGGAGCATAGTGGCTGCCTCTTCTCAGTAGGAATAGCAGTGGATTTTAAATTTCCACTTGCCTGAACACTTCAGATTGCAGGATTCCAAATGCTTTCTGTATGTCTTGTAGGAGAATGAAGTTCTGAAGTATCCTTTGCTAAAAGCTGTGCTCTGCATCATCTGTACACATGCTAATCTCTGGAGGGAGGATGTACCTTTATTTCTTTCCTTTTCAGGTTCTTCATGCTGCATCTCAGGAATACAGATGTATTGATACCTTTCATTATACCCAAGAGAACTCTTTGCTAATGGTTCTCCACAATCCTATGAATCAGCATCGTTTGTGCCAAGAAACTTGGAATACTTCATTGCTCTCTAATGTTGGTTTCAGGTAGCTGATTTTATCTTTCATGTGTCATTCACAGTCATTTTCAATTAAAGCCTGCACTGTTGTACTTTGAGGCAAAGGTTGGAAATTAAAAGATATCGCAGTGTAACACATTTTTGAGAAAGCTGGTTATGCAGGTGGAGAACAGCGATATATAAAAATAATTCTATTGAGACAAAGCTTTTCAAATGAGGAGGACCAGGCCATAACTGTATATGACTCCTTATCATAAACTATAAAAATACATATAATGCAAATATGCTCACAAAGTCACATTAGGGATATCCACATCAAGAAAATTATGCTAAGGACAGTTCAGGTGTGGCAGATTAAAAAGCAAATTCTGTCTAAGAATATATTATCAGGTTTTTTGACACTCTACATAAATTGGGTAAGTGTCACTGGGAAGTTTATTCAAGAAAAGCTAGGAGCCCTTTATTAGAATAATTTTTTTTACAGATGACCACATTCTTCTAAATCCATTGTCTCTATTTGTACACCAGTTTGAGGCATGCAGGTGATTGATGTGTCCACTATTAGAGCTTTTGTCAGTGGACCTATTCAGTTTGGCATACATTTTTGCACTGAAACAGCACCAAATGATCATGTGGGTCCTGCTGCTCTTTCAAATAATTGACTGAAAACAGAATATGTGTCCCTGTACTGATATATAAAGAAGTTATAATGCCATAGGACAGCTGAGCTGTATTTATGTCATTCTGGTGCTCTATGTATTAATTTGATTTGACTTTTGCAAATAGAATTTCAAGCAAGTTCACCCCACCCCCCATTTTGTCTGGAGGCTTCCTTTTTCCAAGTGACGTGCCTAATTTATCAAAGTATGGGAATCTTTTAATGGAATTTTTTTCTTGCTGCCTATGTACTTGAACAGGTTTCAGTACTAAGTAGGCAAGGTGTACCTTCATGAAGACATTTTTAATTCTATTTCATATTTCTGCTCTCAGTTAAGGAGGTCTGTGTGAGTGCTTCTCAGCTTTCCAGGCACTTGGACTCAAATTATTTGCCATGAAGAGAGGCTGTTGTCCTTGGCAGTGACTGGGACCAGAGCCAGAAGAGATTTACCAGCAGAAACACAAACTTCCCTTGATAAAATGCTGCCTGTTTTATGGTTGTTAGGCAAATCTACTGAATGTCTGGTCAATCAGGGGTTTTTTTGCATTTATACAACAACTGAAATCTTCCCCAGAAGGCAGTGAAAGATGGTGCATTCAAGTAAACCTGGGTCTTGCATTCAGATAGACCTGGGCAGAGGGTCAGTGGTCTCAGACTGTTACACAAAAGTCTGTTGGAGCTCAGAGCTGTTCACTTTGCCAGCTATTCTTATTCTTCTCTGGGGCACTGAGCATTAAGGGCCTGAATCAAGTTGTTTAAACATTAACACCTAGTGCCAGTTTAGCTGCCTGGTGTACCTGAAAATGCTGAGACATGTGACATCAGACCCATAGGACATCCATACTTTTTTGGAACAGACACTGGAGACCAGATCACGTATCCTAGTACATGTAATGTCACTTGGTGTTTACATACACTGAGTAACACCTTATCCCAATGGCATATTGTTGTCGTGTGGTCTGTAGGAGCAGACTGTGAGGAACCAGCAACTCTTCATCTGTGGGTCTTTAAACAATTTGGCTGATCATCATGATAGGGCATTGAAATAGCCAGTTCAAGGCCAGCTGAGAAATGGGAAAAGGTCTTGATACCTGAAAAATAAAATTTGCTCATTTTGCATCCAGAGAAGGAATGAAACATGTTCTCTGATAGATAGATGCATTATAATTTTTTTTGAGGATTAAATAGTGACATTCTTCATCCTTTACTCTTCCACATACAGTAGAAACAAGGCTTAGAAATTAAAGATAGCTTCTGCTTGGGGCACACCATATTTGTGCAGTAACATTTCATCAGGTTCTGTTTCAAAGCAGCAGGGAGTTCCCAAAGAAACTGACATGAAAGTTAAGAAGTTTTTATTTTGGTCTTGTTTCATTAAAAAATTCAATGGCATTTCTATGTGTACTACTTGTTGTATTTGAAGAGCTCTGAGGTCTTATTTGGTTCTGTTACTTGTATCATAGAATTATAGAATGGTTTGGGTAGGAAGGGATCCTAAAGATCTAGTTCCAACACCCCTGCCATGGGCTGAGACACCTCCCACTAGTTCTGCCTTTTCTCTGCAAAATAATCAGCATATTTTCTGACCTCATTCAACCTTTTTCCTGAAGAGGTTTTCAAATTTCCTGACAAAGTATCATAAACATATGCTAGTGTATGTTTCCAAGCAACATAACACTTCTGTGGAAGACAGTCTTTAAATACCTGGAGTGCTTCAGCCTGTGGCCTGTAATTAGCATCCAGATCCTGGCTGAGTTGCCAGAAACAGGCACAAACACCGCTTATTAATTAAGCAGTAGTATTACTGGGTTTTACCTTTGTTATTAAGTAACTGGCTCATGTTGAATTTAGTAACAATTTGTTGATTTTTATTTTACTAAAATTGCTATCATTCTAATTTTGGGGATATATTTAAGAGTTACATTTACACCACAGAAGAGTTACAATTACACAATAAATGCTGTGCTTGACAATCTGTCTGTTAGGAGTCCTCTACCTGTGTTTGCTTGTTACCTCTTTATTGGGACATTTTATAAGACTCATTTTGTAGGGTTGTTCCATAGTTGCTGTCTGAAATATACTTCTGCTACCTGGTAATCAGTTGTTTATAGTGGGTCCTGTTACAGCAAATTCTCATGCAAGGGAGATGTTAAATTTCTTACGTTGCAGCAGCTTTTGCGTCTGGACGTTCCAGTTACCTGTTCTTCTTTATGCATATCAGGTCATGTAGTTGATGTAGAACAAACCAGAAATTCAGCAATTGTCCTGTTCAAGTGGTAGGCAGCAGGAGGCTGTGCCTGAAATCCAGTGGATGCTACTGACTAAGGGGATCCAAAACCATGGTCACATGTATCTGCAGTGATAAAAATTTTCAACTCTGATTAGGCTAAATGACCACTGTATCAGGAAGCCAAATGAATTCAGATGTTATCAAAACCATTCTTTTTCTCAAAGTTAATCTCAATGACATTTGTTTACTGTTTCATAGTAAACACATTACACAATTTACTGGAAAAGAATAATCCTTTCTGAGAAATTATTCTGAGTCAGACATTGGCAGTGGTGACATCAGAATACATATTAATAGAATGTGTATTTTTGACTTTGAATGACTGTTTCATTGCCCTAAAATATTTTCCACACAAATAATTTCTTTTTTTATTTATAATGTATATTCATCTTCAAGTTATTCCAGTACTGGCAACTCCAGGTTTCAGCCTAGTTTGCCTTCTGTTTTCAACATCTTTGCTTTGATAACTTGCACACTCTTCTCAAATACAAGCAGAGTCACCTCGTCCCTACTGAGTATATGATCAACAGTTTCTCCATGTGAATTCACAAAGCAGGCTCCACCTACATTGCCGAAGCTGGGAGGCACTTGTGTATCTTGGAGCTGTACATGAAGTCTGTATGACTCCAATCTGTGTAGATAGTCTATGTATTAATTCTCAAGGACTTAGTATGTAAGGCAGCAATTAGAACTTCAAAACTGTCATGAGGTCAAGAATCTGTTGTGCTGCCTGCATGTTCACAACCAAAAACTGTAATGCTTTGGGATACAATTTAATCATCTTGAACTTATAAATGAAAAACATGGTGAAGATACACCAGCTGAATCTCTTGCATTCTTTAAAGGCCCCTTTTAGCTTTGCATACATGAAGAATTTTACTTTTAAGAATTATGGTAACACCCCAATAGAGGGTTGGCAACTGCAGTTAGAAGCAGTTGTTCACAATGAACTATTTTAGCTGTAATTTCAGACACCTTTGAAAGACAATGCAGCTACAGATACCAGCTGCAAACTCTGGATCAGTCTGTCATTCAGTGCTCACTTCAACTTAATTGTCACTAGTGAATATTCTTCATTATGACAGGCTATGGAGCACTGATTCTCTAATCTGGATTTGGATGACAATTTCCAAACACCTTTTGTTGTGTACAAATAAAGAAGAGCTAGAAATTAAACAGAGTAACACCTCAGTTGCTAAACAAATTAATGAAGTGTATTCTAAAAGACAATATAAATTGAGAACATCTAAGAAAGTAAGTTATCTTTGTGGTAAAGCAGTGAAGAGGAGAATGAGACTGAGCCTTTCCTAAACTGAATGTCTCTGTATTTTCTGACTTACTGGATTTTCTGTTGGAGCAGACGTTCTTTGGAAGACAAGTTCCTAATACTTCTTTGCAGAAAGGATAACCAGAATCCCAAACTTAAGATACCTTAAGCAAATACTAGCCTGGCAAAAGAACCAGCTCCTGTGAAAACTGAGAAACCTTGTCAAACACAAGCCTTCTCACTAAGGCTATAGAATAATATTTTTATAAGAAACTGAGAAGCAAAGTGATCTTGTTTGACCTGAAATCATATTAGTGAAAACTATGTTACGGTAAATAGAGGAATGTTGTGCTTTCAGGAATTATCTGGAGCTGGTGGCCAAATCCATTGAAGACTGGGTGAAAGAGGAAGAAGACAAATACCAAGAGAAGATAGCTAAGGAATTAGAGGCTCTTCAAAAGAAAAAAGCCATGGCAGAAGGACCTTTTGAATTGTCTGCAAGTGCTCTTGAAACAGCTGGCTTCCCTAAGAGATCCAGAAGTGGGTATCTTTTTGTTTTATTCTAGAAAATTCATTTTCCTGTTGAGTGCTGAGACCAAAAGTTTCTCAGAGCGGAACTGCATATCATAGAGTAGCTCTGTTTGTCATCTGAATAGATATAAATGTTTGAAACATACACATATTCAAATATTCTGCATCATTCTCTGTTCTGAAAACTGAGATCTTTAATGTCAATTTACATGGACAACAGCTGTATTTAATGGAATTACTTAAAGGTTTACATACAAATACTAATTTCTGTTTAGAGGACTGAACAAATGAAAATACCATCAGTAGTTAAAGTTGGCAACATGGTTCAGGAAAATTCCTATTTTAAAAGGGTGGGATAAATGTTGGAACTCAAAAGCTGTGGGCTAGAAGCTAAAACTGGAAAATGGAATTTACTAGACTGCAGAGAAAACTCTTATTACAAGCAGCATTTTGGGTAGTGAGCATTGTAAGCAGTTTATACAGTAACTGCTGAGCAGGCAGAAAAATCTGAAAACCCCTTTTGACGAAAGAGGACTTTTGTCCAAGTTGTCCATTTGTCTGTTGAAGTGATATTGACCATGATTTATTGATATTTGGGGTTTGCTTTGTTCACCCTTTTTGAGAATGCACTTTAAAACCTCCTAGTACCAGCAATTAGCATTTATGGAAATAGGAATGTTATTCCTCAACTCCTCAACACCTGATTATATTTTGGAAACCTAAAGTGCAATTATGACTTCTAAATCATAATTTGTTCCTATCTAACTGTCATAGGAGCTAGACTCTTGCCTGTCTGGTGCCTCATGACAGATATGATTCATAGATAAGCTCACTTGCTGAAAAAAATATTACAATCAACTGTAGCTGGGACGTGCAGATGGGCAACAGTGTCTTTAGGTGATTTCAATTTCACTGGCACTGCTGTAACCCATACTGCAATTTCTACTTCGTAATACAAGGTAATTTAACTGTAAGTTCCTGGTAGTGTCCTTTAATTTAGCTTTTCTAGCAAGTAAATACTGGGCATAGAAGCATGATATAAAACCACACACCTAGGAAGATAGCCTTTTCAGGAGTCACAGATGCTATAAAGCTCTAATACTAACAGGGAATATAGTAAGTGTTTCTTCAGTCACGGTTCAGACAGCATTTATTCACTTTTTTGCCTTGAAAGGTTGTAATATCTATGATTCTGGCAGTGAGTTTGTTCTGGTGTTTTGTGATCTGGTTAAAGTACTGGGTCTGAATTCTGGAACAGTGATAGTAGCAAAAATAATAAATACTGCAAAAAAGCCTTGTTGCAAGAGCAAGGCCTTCAACAGCAAGAAGCAGAAAGTCTATCCTTAGATACGTTGATATATTGTTTAGTATTTTTGTCCCCAGTTATGCTTGTCTGGTAAGTTTTTTCTAACCCAGACTTTCTAATTTATCTCAAAAAATATGTAGCATTTTCTTTATTCTACTTTTATACTTTTACTATTTTCAAATACATGTATTTTATTTACTTGCACTTTTATTTTTGTATTCCAAATATTTTTAATTATTCCATTTTCATATATTTATAACCATATTTTTTGTCCTTTCATTTCTCAAAGGCAGCCTGACACCTGAGAGCTTAATGGAGACCATTGCAGAATATCAATTCAAAAAAAGGGATTCTTTTATCAGAGAAGGTTCTCTAAAGGTGAGGCAAAACTATGTATGTTTCTGAAATGAACTAAATAATGCTGTGTCTCCGTTCGACTCAGGTTTGACAACAATGCTCTCAATCTCCTCCCCCTCCCACCCAGGTAGGGAAAGTACTTGAACTTAATAACAGATGTGTTCATGGTCTAGGTCAATGTTGTCAAATTTACAACCTCTGTCCAAGACAAGGCCAAGTCTTGCCTTTGTTGGCCCAAACGACTTACAACTTATCTGGTATAGCTGTGTGTTTTACAGTATTTGCCCTATGTCACCATTTGACTCAGGTTTGACAACAATGCCCTCAATCCCTTCCCCCTCCCACCCAGGTGGGGAAAGAGAGAGAGAAAAAGAGAGAGACTTGGCTAGATTGAAAACTGAACTACACAGCTTTAATTAGGTTACTAATGAGTGACAGGAGAGAATATATATGATTATACAGAGATGTGGGCAAAAGCCTCTCGCCTCCCCCCACCCCCAGCAACTCCCACAGCACTCCCCTGAGAGATGGGACAGTCCCGAGGGATCCCGGAGCTTCTGCTGGAGTAAGGCAGAGAGTTATGAGGGTCAGGAGAGCTCGAGGTCGATGGGTCGACGATGATGGATGGATGGAGTTCTCCCCGGACGCCGACCATGGACAGAAGACAGGGAGAGGGAAGAAAGAAGGAAGGAAGTTGTCTTCTGTCATCTCCAACCTTCCCCCCGAGCCTACGTAGATATCTGGGATGGAATATCTCTGGCCAGTTTTGCTGTCCATCTAACTCAGCCTCCCACGGGGGGGCCACAGATCTCCCTGCAGTGTCTGAGCCGGTAGAGCAAAGGCGCGACCTTGAGGGCCCAGCAGTTACAAAAACATTCCAGTGCCTTATCAACCTAGCAGAACACACAGTTGGTAGTTGAAGAAAGCTCACTGAAAAGAAATCAGCAAAAGAAAATCTGTCTTAATCCTGGCTCAAACCAGGACACGCTGCTTTCCCAGGAAAGTAAGCCTTCATTCCTACATGGGCTTGACTCAATCCTCCTAGTTTTTCTGCTCTTGCCTATTTTTTGTATACTTTATTTCTTATTTTCTTTAATTTATTCCTTATTGATTCAATTATGTTATTTTTTTAAGGAAAGACTGTTTGGAGTTAGGCTAGACTTTCCAAAAGCAATTCATGATCACAGGATTAGGAAGAGAATGTTATAGATAATACCTTACTTCTTGTTGAATTTTTCAGCTTATAAAAATATTAAAACATAAGAACCAGATTCATGTAACTAGTTATTTACCCAACTCCTACTTTCACTATCTACAGCTCTTTGAAATTAAAGAATGTAAGTATGGTACCTCAGAGTTTCCTTATGACAGAGGATCCCACTTTATGGATGTAGAACATAGTCATGCACTACAGATGAATTGACTTGCTTAGGTTCACACAGTAAGTTCCTTGGCTAAGGTAGTTTTTTAACTCTTAGCACTGGTGCTATCCATTAATCTGCACAAGTCTAGCTTAACTGATGTTGTGTTCCCCTGCTTTTTTTGACCTCTCACATGGTATGTAACCCTCTGTACTTAAAGCACACGTATTGGAATGTACATATGAAATGGTGTTAACCAGTTTCTCGGTACTCAACTTGAGCTGGCATGGCACAAGTTAAGCTAATGCCTAACTTGTCACTGTGAATGCTTAGCATTTCTTCCACAGAAATGCTTGTGCCTTCGTATGCTTGGAATATGAAATGCTACAAAGCCCCAAATACTCTGGAAAATTTCAGATGTCTCCCTGACATGAGTTGATAATTCTGGCATTGATACCTCATTCCTCTTTCTGTAAGAAAATAAAATCATTTTATCTCAGAGTGGCATTTTGGGAATAAACTAATACCATTGATGCATTGTGATTTGGTGATGCAGATTGTGGAGAGCTGCACAACAAAATAATTCTTTTATGACTGAATACGTAAGAAGCAACTAATCATCTGATATGTCTCCTGTGGTCAAGAATGACTGATTCTGTGGACTGAACGAGTCCGTAATTTTACACAAAATATAGTACATAATATTGTAAAACTGTAGACACATTTGGAAAACATTTCTTAGAGTGACTTAGGACACTGGTTCCTTTGAGTTTGTTTACTTGTACTCTTTTTAGCATGCAAATTTTTGTAATACAAACAGAAACACAGTCTTTTGAATTCCTAACACTCAAAATAGGCTTGGAAGAAGGAGCAGGACCAATTACTAGAGGAACAACTTAAGGAAGAAAAAAAAGGGAAAAAAGAGACTTTGGGAGATAAAAAGAAAGGACAAGAGAAAACAGATGAAGAAGGTGATGAGCCAGGAGAAGCCACTGAACTTGAGGAGGATTCCAGTGCCCCAGAACCACCCCCTGAGAAAGTGTATAGGGTAAGAAGTCTATTATTGCATCAAATTAGGAAAGTGCTAACTACTTATATAGAGATTCAACATTACAGCAAAACTATTATTCATTATGGAATTGGAGTTCAGGGCAAATTAGGCCTAACAAGGTCTTGTTAAACTCCTTTATTTTAGCAGTAGATCCTTTCCTAAAAGTTTTGGAGAGCAGTTTCTGATGTTTAAGATTATCCTATACAAGACTTATTGTGTGTGTGTATGATGTGACATGAACACACAGATAATAATAGTTTTGTGCCCATGGAAAATACATTATGGGATAAATTTTACCTAAAAATGTGATTTTTCAAGGGAGAGGGTGGGAAAGAGGAACATGAAGACCTGTCCCAATTCCCATAATCAGGGCCTGTTAGGCCTACTTGAAGTTTTGCCTGTCCGTATTAGAAATCAAGGAAGAGGAGTTCACTGTTTCTGTCATTTCCTGTTTAAAAATTTGTAAAGCTATTCTGCCTTTTATACTAACAGAGGTGTATTTCTTACAGAGAGAACTCTTCACTAGTTTTGTCCAAACAGTTACTCAGGAGTTTGTACTGCTTTATATTCACAGTCTAAGCCTTGCATCCAAAACTTGGGTAGTCAATATACTTTAGTCTAAATTTGCTGAAGTACAGACTAGAAACTCAGACATATATAATGTCTCAATCTGAACTTACTTGCTTACACTCACCTATTTTTTGCCAATTTGTGGCTCTTTGGAAAGCAGAGATCTAAAAATCAGATTTATAGTGTCTGAATTCCAAAATCTAGAGAGTGGAAAGCTGAATCTTTATTTGCCCTTTTTCTGATCCAAGGCCATTGCATTTTGTCACTCTGTCCAGAATTTTTCTTTCACTTCCATTACATGTTAAGCTACCAGTCTACTTGCTGTTCTTCAGTTTCCATGGTGGCTCCATACCACTGAAGGACCAGATTCTGCTCTCATGTGTAACAGGTTACTTTAGTTAGTAACTGAGAAATTATTTGGATATGAGAAAAACATGCTATGTATTTGCCAAGTTGTTATTACATTAATTAAATATCTAAACAAAAAGATTGGCCAGAACAGTGGGATTCTGGTGATCTCTCCTTCATTTTCCTCTTTCATGGTTTCTGCCTTTCTCATTTATGCATAATCCAAAACTTGTTTTTTCAGTTTTTTGGCTACAATACAGGGGAAGATCTCATTCAAGTGTCAGGAACCAATCAATATCTCTTCCCATGTGATGGAGGACAGATTCAAGTAGAGAAGATAGAGTTTTTAAAAGGTGATTCATTTTTTACATTAACTGATGGTATAGTTTCTTATTGCATAAAAGCTTTTTCATGTGCCAGTAGCAGAAATTCGGTTAAAGCCATTGTGAGAGTACCATTTAATTCCTCTATCACGACTAATGTTTACATTTTCCTATAGTATGTTGACTACAGATAGATAAATAAAGTACCAGAAAAATAAAAATGGGGAAAAATCAGTTCATTTTTATCTGTTCAATGGCAAATAATTAACGATATTTCAAGAATATATGTTGCAATAATTTGTCCAGTCAAATGCTATGTATCTAATAAACAAGAGTTGTTCTATTCTATTTAGTCTAAACTCAAATAACTTGAACTTCATCTTCTTGGGCTTGTAATAAGCATTTCAGCCCACTTCTGAGCAATTTTCTTTTTTGTGTGCTTCGTAGTTGCAGATACTGGGTTTTTTTAGGTCTGGGGCAATTCTGAAGCCTAGTGGGAGCAATAATAGTATTCCATTCCTTTGCAGGTCCGACTTTGATAAAGGTGAAAGTGATAATAGACAAGCATAATTTCTTCATTCATATCACAGACCCTAAGAAAAACTTAAAAGAAATGGAAGTGCAAGATACTCAAGAAATTAAATCAGGTTAGTGATCTAATAGAAATAAAAATAAATAGAAATTAAAATCCAGTTGGACAACTTAAGCACCATGTAGTGAGACCTTAGCACAAGATGTAGAACCACAGTAGAGGTCAACAGGTGCAAACAACTCTCTTTTCCAAAGCCAATAAATGAATTAAAAGAATAAAGAGAAACCAATTTTCTTTAGTTGCAGTTCAGCAATTTCTGCTGCTGGTGGACATGTTGCTAACACTCAGAAAGCATTGAATCCAAATTCTTTCTGAACCCAGGTAATAATGTTTCTGAGAATGAAGCCAGTCTATAATAATTTGTGTGTTTACCAAAAACACTATGAAGTTGCTCTCACTGATAGAAGAGTATTGGAAAAGTGTAACTTGTGGTAGGTGCGTTAGCTCTTAATTTTCATCAATGTCAGAAAGCAGCCTGTTTTTGCACCTCTTCTGTGCTTCAGCTGCCACCTGTGGTATAATTGTAGGTTGTCTGAATAGAAAATGTGCATCCCTTCGTCCAGTGAGATGTTTCTTGTCTGTCTTACTGAAAGTAGACCTGTATCATTCTGGGGTCTACCAAATGGCACTTCCAATCACAAGTGTGCTGGCATCTGTATTCACCTGGCAAGAGTGAGTGGCCTTTCTCCTGTGTAAACAGGAGTACCTTATAGAAAGACAGTAGGGAAGGGAAGAAGCAATCCACTCTGGTATTTGGCAGTGGCTGAATGGTACAATGGTAAGCTTTTAATGCAGTCAAAATGGCAAAACAGCATCTTGCAGGTCATAGTCACCAGTGAACATTGCAATGACAGACAGTAAATAGGAGAAGATCGGTCTCAGTATGTGTGCTTTGCTGATGAAAGAACTGGGAGATGATTATTTGTTGGTAGCTTGCCTTAACCTTCTTTTGTAATCTTCTGTGCTGCTCCTCACAGTTTTAAAAAGCTGTTTCCCATATTAAAAATCCCAAGGATTTCCTCTTACCAGAAGAAGGCACCTTTAAGGCAGTAGGAGTTGAACTAGAGGCAAGGCTGGAGCGAGTGTCACTGTCTCGGAGGTGTTACCTTGCATAGGTTGTGTGGTTTTCAAAGCTGATGTACTCATCCCATAATATCTTGTCCTGCACCTCCTCTAAGTGAGCTTGTCTCTTGATCCACTTTCACAAATGTCAGACCTATCTTTGGATCTAATTTGTCAACTTCGTCTTCCTTTTTACTTTCTCCTCAAGGTACAGTCCCTGTGACAATATCTGAGAGACAGGACCTTTTTTTTAGTGCATAGGCCACCTGTGGTAGAAATTAGCACTTTAACATTCTTGTCAACCAAGAAGGGGACAGAAGCAAGGATCTGTGGCTCCAGAACTATATTCTTTTGCTGTTCAAATTCACAAAGGCTTTTTACTAGTTGTTGCTATTAAACTTGTTTTTACACACCTAGCTAATTAGAATGCAATTTCTAGATGACAAATTGCAGCTATATGACACAAAACAGACTATTATATACTGTCCTATGAATGGAATGATAAAGTTTTCCCTGTCCTGTATTAATCTGTTTTACAGGTTGGTTTCATTGGTTTGCAGGTCAGGTGGTTCTGGTATGTATTGCTTGTGTATGTCTTCAAAATCCATTCCATTTCTTTTTTAATAAGGAAATCTGAAAAATCAAAAGACATCTTGGAGCAAGTTTGGATCTTTTTCAGCCACCTTGGAAAATGGAATCCAGCTGTCCGTGAGCTATTATGGACCTACAGGGAAGACAGCAGGTAAAGTAAGCAAATAGAAGAGGATATTTGAGAACCATAGGAGTATTTTTTTTTCCTTTTTTTTTCTCTTCATACACTCCTTAACCCAATAATTTGTTGCATGCAATTCTGCCTTTCTCAGCAGCTGTTATTACATGGTGAGGAATTTTCAGCAAGGCTCAAGATGAGATTATATTGTCAAGAATATTCTATGATTCCAATTTCAAAATGGAAGGAGGTCTCCATGCTTTTTTCCTTACTGAGCAGAGTGAAAAATAACAGAGCAGAGCAGGGAGAAACTTGCAAGTATTGTTATTAAGTAGGCCAGCAAAATCAGCCAATTAATTTGAGCCAAAGAAAATGTGATTTGCTGAGGAGTCTTCTTGGTTTTCCAAGAAATAATATTTTTGTAAACTTATATAGGTGATTATGGAGCTTTCACTTTATGTTAGGAGCTGGACTTTGGGTTAAAGTTGTATAGACATAATGAGGGATTTCTCTCAGCCTTTCAATAAACACATTCACCAACTGGAAGCAATTGCTTCACAAAACCGCAGTGAAAATAGCGTCTGATTTTACCAAGAGCTTTTTCTTTCCATTACATTTGAAAGGCCACTGAAACCATCATATGCATAAATGTGAAACCCTCCTGTGATGAGAAAATAATCCCTGCCTTTTTCAGCTCCTAAAATATGAAAACATTTAATTGAATGCATTTGTGTGCGAACTGTGGTAAACCATTCCACTCTACACTAGTTTAATTATTCAAATACATTTTACAAATTAATTACTTAAAAATTACTTTTAAAACTTGGGCCAAGAGAGCATTCACACTGTAGTGGATGGTGAAAACTTGTATTTTGGCGTAAAAGAGAGACTTGTCTAATTGAACACCTGCATGTCAGCTGTGATGTTCAGGCTTTTTCATATCTAAGCATCTACTTTGGAATAATCCTTGCCATGTTGAGCTTTAGTGCAGCACTGCAGACTGGCATTCTTAGATTGTTTGCTGCATTTCTACAATCACTTGCTTATGCCTAATTCCCCTTGTGGAAAGTAGTATCCATCTGAAACTGAGTGAGCTCCACTTCACAGCATGGGTACCTGTGATGAAGGATAGCTCCCCTCACTATACATATGAATTTTCTTATACCCAGTTTATAGTGTTCACATAGATATTTATACTCACCTGACAAGGTGGATTACCTTCACTGATTACTTTGTTGGATAGTTGCCTCTGAATCCTTCCTTTCAGCTATGCTACTTGTCTGTGGAGCACCAGCTCTGTCCAAGTTTATTAGTCAGCTGATTCTTCTCACCATACACAACCCATTAGATGAGTTCTATTACTTGCTTATTTCATGGCCATGCCATCTAATAAATGTGCATCAGAATGGACCCCGTAGAGAATTTTAAACTATCCTATTTTACATAGTCAGTTGAGAATTTATCTCTAGATTATTATAAACTGAACTGATGTAGTCGCCTTTTCTCAGACTTCCAATCAGCTGTAAAAACCACAGAGCTTTTATTCTGGTACCTGAAAGCAGAGCCACCTAACAAAGCATCAGATGCTTGTGCATCAGGTATGCAGCAGCTAATGAAAATGAAGATTTGAAAAATCTTTGTGGTGATCTGTGGGCTGCTGTTCAGTATCTTTATCAACAGTCTGGATGAGTGGAATGAGTGCTTCCTCAGCAAGTTTGCAGATGACACCAAGTTGGATGGGAGATCTGCCTGAGGGTAGGAAGGCTCTTCAGAGGGATCTGGACAGGTTGAGGCCAATTGTATGAGGGTCAGCAAGGCCAAATGTTGAGTCCTGCACTTGAGTCACAACAACCCCAGGCCACGCTACAGGCTTGGAAAAGGGCAGAAAAGGCTCTGTGGGTGCTGGTGGACAACCAGCTTAACATGAGCTTAACATGAGCCAACAGTGTGCCCAGGTGGCCAAGAAGGCCACCAGCATCCTGGCTTGTATCAGGAATAGCGTGGCCAGCAGGAGAAGGGAGGTGATCATGCCCTTGTATTCAGCACTGGTGAGGCTGCACCTTGAGTACTGTCTTCAGTTCTGGACCCCTCACTAGAAGAAAGACATTGAGGTGCTGGAGCAGGTCCAGAGAAGAGAAGAGAAACAAAGCCAGCAAAGGGGCTGGAAAACAAGTCCTATGAGGAGAGGCTGAGGGAATGGGAATTGTTTCGTTTGGAGAAGAGGCAGTTAAGAGGAGACCAAATCGCTTTCTACAGCTACCTGAAAGGAGGTTGCAGTGAGGCAGCCGTTGGCCTCTTTTCCCAAGTGAAAAACGATAGATACAGAGGAAGTGGCTTCAAGCTGTGCCAGGAGAGGTTCAGATTGGATATTGGGAAGAATTTATTTACTGAAATACTAGTCTGACACTGGAATGGGCTGCCCAGGGAGATGGTGGAATCACCATCTCTGGAGGTACTTAAAAGCTGCATAGATGTGGCAAAAATGAGTTGAAAGGCATATTATCTATGGACTCCTAAATAGGACTTTTTCACCAGATTATCTAATAGTTTCTTCTAGCCTGAAAGTCTGAAATTCTGTGTGACTTTTGTAGCTGCCATAAATCCAGAATCATCCATAAAGCAACTGAACATGCAGGCAGCCTTTCTAGTAGTTCAGAACTTGGTTTTTAAGGTGACCTCTGCATTTTCTTGTCTGCAGAGCTAAAACCATCTATTCCAAAACTTCCTGGAAGTAGTGGATGAATTAGCACTTAGGCCTACTTTTTATCTTCTTCAGCCAAAATATACTAACACTTCATCTGCAGAAAATTCTGTTATCTCACACCAGAATGGTTCTGTTAGCATGCTTCTGGATGCATGTCCTTCCTTCTTTGTCTGTGATCTGGCTTGCAATTCATCAATTGGTTATTTAAATTTTCTTTGCCTAATATATCAGTTTTCACATTAAATAAGATTGTTCATTGGAAAAAGCAGAACTAAAATGTAATTTTACCAAAAGAAACAAACAAAAAATTCTAAGTCTTCCTAAAGACATTCTTGAAATAACTGACTTGTCAGTAAAGTTCATACTTTATAGAAACTATGTGGCAAATCAAATTTGCTTTATTTACTTTAAACGGGTTTTCACAAGATAATTTCTGAGACCATTATGTTTTGCTCAGTGGTGTTTTCAGTTCTTATCTACAGTGTGTGGTCAAGATGTGGATAAGAAATTGGTCCAACAGGGGTAACAAATTCTCCAAAAGAAACAATAACTCAATTTCTTAAATTGTCTGGGTGGGAAACAAGGTGTCATTTCATGAGTTGTAGGTTTGGGACTTAGGATGCCTTCAGTCAAGAAGAGATGATAAAAAAAAAATAAATTCAAAAAACAGTTAAGGTTAGAGGTGGCTGGGGTTTTCTGTTTAAAGTGTAAGTATGTTGAAACAAAAAAGTTTACAGAAACTCTTAGTTTGTATTAATTTTGTTTTCAAGAAACTGTTTTGAAAGGCAACATGCCTACTTGCTGTCAACACGCTAAGCAGACTGTCCTCATGCTTGGCCTTTAAGAATTGGGAGAGTCTTAGCAAGTCTGGATCATCAGCATCTTTCTGAATCATTATAGAAAAATAGAGCCATGTAATGCAAAACTGCTGGAGGTAGTCTCTGCTAGATCAGCCCATGATAAAGCATAACAACAGTGATCGTTTCCTAGATACTAGAATCAGAATGTCTCCACCTATCTAGGTATTGAAGTAAAAGAGAATTTTTTTAATTGCATTTTCTATTTTTGAGAGACAAGTGACAACCCGTGGGAAACAATAGTTTCAAGACATCTTTTAGGCTGATGAGATAGTCTACAGAAAGATTTTCTAAATAATTTCATATATTTAGGCTCTCTATCTGAAATAATAACTTCCTCCACTGAGGTGATTATTTCTAAAGTAAAGTTTAGTGTACAAAATCTTGTTAAAAAATAAAATGTGTTGGTCTCCATTTATGAAACTTATTTGTTTTAAAAAGGTTGCTTTTCCCTTTCTTAGATGATGAAACAGATCTTCTCTTGGCAAGAATTCTGAGCATCCCTTCTGTTCATAGTCCAACCATAGTTTCTCCTGTTACATCAGCTTCAGGAAAAAAAGATAAGTCTGCCAAACAAAAACCAGGAAAATCTCAGCCAACTGCAAAAGCAAGCCTTAGCAAAACAGGCCTTCCATCACCTGATGACCAAGTAAGGCATGAAGAAGGAAAGGTGGGAGACTAGACATTATCTAATGAACGCAGACAAAAATTCAATACATAAATGTATGTAACAGAAACACACATTCTTCTCAGAGGATTTCAGACTGTGCCTTAACAAATTTCTAACAATTTCTGGTGCTTGTAAGCAGTTGTTTTACTCTACTAGCTGTTCTCAGATGTACATACTGGCTCCTATCCATGAAGAAACCTTTATGACTCCATGATGTAAAGCAGCGTGTCTTCCATGGTCCACAAACTAATGTTTTACAGTTACACCTGTTACATTATTAATATCTCAATTACTACAACTGCTCTAGAAATTAGTTTTCAGTTTATCCAAGTAGGAGAATTTTTCTGTGCTGTCTAAAACCTGTATTGTAAAGTCTAACCAACCAGTAAATAAGTGGAGACAGTTTTGCAAAAGCTTGCTCTGCAATTTGGTCTTTCCAGCTGATCACAAGCCAGGGACCAGCAAATTAAGGAAGTTATTTTTGTGTATATCTGAAGTAACACTTTCACAGGACAGTCCTTTGGAAATGATGGATGACATTTCAAAAGTGGATTCTGCATTTCTGTTATGGAATAGCACAGAGTAATACCAGAATTACAGGACCATGTACATCAAAAACACACCGTTTTAATCTGAAATATCTTCCACAAAGCTCTATGAGAAACTTTTTTGGCATAAAAACATGACTGAGGGAGGCCATATCAGTTCAGAAATGGGTCACAATTCCCCTCTGCAAAATTACTAACCTTGCTGATTTCAGGTTGTTTCAGCTAACTATTGGCAGAATATTTTAGGCAACCACTGGATGTTTTTTTGATCCAGTGGTTTCACAGACCAGCAAGGGCATGAATTACAGGAAAGGTTCATCAAAGAAATACGGGAGGAAATATTAGCAGGATGGTGGAAGAGGATGCAGTTTTCTATTTGCGATTATTTGACCTCTTTTCTTTTTTGGATGCTGTTATCTCCAACCAGCAGTGTCCCAGGAATGGACACAACTAAAATGCAAACAAACCCTAAGATAAAGACAGAAGTAAACATTAGTAGTATTAAGAACAAATTTAGTTACCACTGTCAATATAGGAATGGACAGTCTTCTGAAAATAGGCATAATCAGAACACAAAGCAGTATCTATAAACAGTTTCACGTAACACTAGTGCTCTAAAATATTATACTACCTGGAAAAATTATTTAATGATAGTTGTGAGTAAAAGCTATCCCTTTTAACCTGACCAAGTTACAAAAGAATAGCATTTTTAGCTAATGTGCTTGTTAAAGCAAAACTGCAAAAATATTTAAAGCGTATTGTAGTGTGTTTTGATTTTCTCCCTGCTTGACTGTCTTTAATCAAGTATGAATGAAATGATGCTGAAAGAGCTGCTAATAAAATGTCCCAGTTCTCATCTTGAGCCAAATATAAGTCAAATCTAGTATGTATAATACTTTTTATTGCCAATTATATTCCATTAACTTAGTCATTCTTCCCTCTTATGTTCTGCTTCTTCCACAGCATGGTGGGTGATATGTAGAGAATATGAATGGCAGGCATCAGATCTGCAGATCTGCTGGTTTTACCTGCACTGTTTTCTCTTTTGTCCTCTTCCTCAGACTTTCTCCATGGAAAATTAACTTTAGTTCATCCAGCTGTAGTGACTTCCAACTCCAGAGGCATTTCATGAAACTCTATTTCTTGTTACCATTTTGTAGGGCACTGCCCTGAAAAGAATCACCACCTTTTGGTCTAAATATCTGATTGTTTCTTTTTCAGAATTGTCTCTTGAAAAATTGGTCTTTTGTCTATTCTTGTTAATTTGACCACTTCTCTCAAAATCACTCTTGCTATGCACTCACAAGAGCTTTATGAGTTATCTTCTCAACTCCTTTGTCAAGGGAGGCTGAATGGAGATCATGATTCTGTTGACAGAACTGGACCGACCTGTTTAAAGAGGTAGAAGGGCAATATGGAAATGAAGGGTTAAATGCAATGCAGATTTATTAGAAACAGGAGATAGGTTTAATTACAAAGCAAATGCAAGGGGAAAGTAATAAGACAGACAAGGGTGAATGTGTACTGGGAGCTGTAAGAATAGCCTTGGAAAACTCTCTAAACACCAGACACCTATGCTGCTTCAATATGGATTCTGCCCATATCCACAAAAAGTCTGTTGACCTCACTTCAACAATTTGAGCTAGGTTTTTAAAGAGCATGAGCATGGAAATTGGTGCTTGGAGTTGCCAAACAGCACTCAGCATAACATGCAGCAATTGTGTGGCGTAAACAAACCCGACACAAAGGAATTCCTCTACCATTAAAATACAGTCAGGAGGATGTCAACATTCCTCCTCTTCTTCCAGAAGACTTTACTATTTCATTTAGAATGTCTTCAGTCCATTTTTGGTGTTTTATAAAAACCGTGGAAGACAAAGTATCCCATATTAGTGCATACAGCACCCTGCTGTGTGAATATGCCAGTGTTTTGGAGGGCAGGATTGAAATTGCACTGATAACAAATTTGTATTAACATGGTATGGAAAACAGGATGCAGTTCAGTAAGAATAAATGCTAGGTTCTGTAGTTACATATAAATAATCAATATGGATGTACAGAATTAATTCTATCAATAGCAGTTCTATAAAGGTCTGAGTTCCAATGGATCAAAAGCTATAAATAAGTCAACAATGCCATCTTGCTGTGAGAAGGGCAAAGACCATGTTGAGGTGAATAAACAGAATAGCCTGCTAAATATGTGAAGTTATTTTCCACTCAGGGCTGATAGTGCCTCAGTTTAAGTAATTGTGTCCAGTTATGGATGCTGCACTGCAAGAAAAATGTGTGCCACACTGGAGAATTCTAAGGAAAGCACCAAGAAAGATCAGATGTCTAGAAAGTTTGACTAGTGGGGAAAGATGAACAGACTTGGTTTGGGTTTTTTTGATCTAGAGCAGAGAGGCAGAAGAGCCTTCTGTAAATATGTAAAGGGACACCATAACCTCTTATGCTGCCCATATAATCAGAAAAAATTATCAGAAGTAAACTAACTTTTTGCAGGAGAGATTCAGGCTAACCAATAGAAAAATGTCAGTAAGGTTAGTCAAGGTAAAGCACTGGCATAGATACCAGGAATTTCCAGTATAGGTTTTCTCTAATGATATAGACATACTTGATTTTTTTAATCTTTATTAACTATTAGCAGGAAGAAGTAGATGACAACTGAGGTTTACTTTTGCCCTAGTCTGTGATTTATTCTCCATGATGCCATGACTACGATCTTAGGGTACTGAGGATAGCCTTAATTACCCAGTAATACTATGTAAAGTAACCATAAAATGTGCAGCATTCTATGTGCTGAAAATCAGGTGGCAAAACATCTGCCAATTTTCCCCTATATTTCTATTACTAAAAATCAAGAATATGGGGTAATATCAGGACAAGTTCTCTCTGTTACATCTCTCTGCAACCCAAAGCTGTTTTCATCTTATGACTACTGGCATAGTGCACTTCATTGTCACATGGGGGGATGACATCAACAGATCTATTATTGTATTTTTTCAAAATGTTCCAGAGTCTTCAGACATTCTTTTGGTCAACCTCATCTTTTGTAGTCATCGGAACAGTTTCCACTACAGACCAGTGCACAGAGAATTACACATTGGACTGCCAAACATTCTTTCCTGTCCCCTTCTCAAGTCAGTGCTTTATTTGCAGCAGACTAGAAGTACTGCTTTACTAATCCTTTGTGGTCTTTTAATGATTATAGGTAAAACAACTGATGTGCAACTTCAATAATTATTTCACGCTGATCTGCATCACATTATGCATTTATTGTCATCTCATTGCTCTGCACAAGATAGCATAATGAGTCAGCAAAATTAATAAAGTCAGGAGGCTTTGCTCTTCAAGGGTTAATAAGGAGGAATGGAAGAAGAAAGCATATAATCAAAGAAGATAACCTAATGTTTCTACTTCAGAATCCACAGGCTCTCAAAATGTTAAAAATGAGTGGTAGAAAGCACTTAACGAAAAAAAAACAACAAAACAAAACCCAAAACCGCTGATAATCTGTAGTCTAATATTTTTTTTCTCTTAAAATGTGAAATAAAACTAATTCATTATTAATTCATTATTTAATTCATTATTAATTCTGTAGGTGGAAATAGAAGAATCAGCTTCCAAAACACAAGTGATGTCAGATGCTCTTGATTTCCCAAGCTTGAATGTCTCCTGTCCCAATGGACTAGTATTAACTTTCCTTGGTGAAAGTTTTGGAAGTGACTTTTCTGAGCCACTGCAAAGTAAGGAATTTTAAAATAAGTTAAAATTATAGAAGAAAATTATTTCTGCTTTGATGGCTTTAGATGTAACAACATGAATTTTTTAACATCTCAGATTATCAGGCCTGTCATAATGTCTGTTTAATAATATTTGCAAATAAATTAAAGGATGCAGAAGGTTTTCAAAGGTAGGTTGTTTGGCAAGGAGCATGAATTGAAATGCTGAATAGTTAAGGTTAACAGCACAAATATGGGCACGTACATGTAGTCTCTGGACACAAGGACCATAATTATAGTCATTAGCACACTCAACACTGCCAAAATTTAATCTAAAAACCTTATTTGTTCAGGTAGACAAAATATCTTAACTTCAGTTTATAAGCAAGCTCAAACTTGGTGAAACTCAGTAACTTTTTTCACCTTTATATGCAGTTAGGAAGTTCCTCTCTCCTAATGTCAGTCTTCCTAAAGTTCAGCACCCATAATAACTCCATCTTCAAATTTGTCTTATTTTCGTTTGTAAAGACAGACACCTCCACAGGAGGGTGCAGAGTTTCTGAACAGTTGACTGCTTTGAATTGTTTTTGAAAAAGAGAGTTTGTCTCCTACTCTGTGTATTATAGAGGAAGCCAAGGAGGGTGGCTACCTTCTGTAGCCACCATGATGCTGGGTGTTTAGCACAGTTTGAATGTGTGCTAAGCATTATTAAGTAATTCAAAATTTGTTCTCAGATTTGAAAGGTGAAGCCACTGTATCTGAAGCTGAGAAAGAGGTGGTAAAGGAAAGTGAGGCCAAAGCAGATGAAGTTAAGGAAGAGGGCACTGAAGCAAAGAAGGAAGAGGTTGTGGAAAGTGAAGAGAAGGAACATGAGGTTACAGAAGGTGCAATAAAGCACAAAGACACCAAGAAAGAACAGCCCAAGCAGCATACTCTGGAAATTCTGGTTAGACAGAGTTATCCCCAAAAGGTAAAGAACTCTCATCTGTATATGCCTGTGGCAAGGCAAATAGAGCAAGAAGTGTCAAGAGTCATCACCAATGAAGGAACTGTCATAAAGTACATGATGGATGGATCTACCCAGGTATGTTTAGTAGAATTTATCAAAAGCAGTTTGCATGTGTGATTACCCTTGAACTTGTGCTTGTCAGCTGAGAGAAGTGTCCCTTTTGTAGATGGAGTTGTAACCACTGAGTTATAAAGCCATGTCAAGACTAAAATATGTTTGTGGCCTTGTTCAGAATCAGAACTTGAGGCATATAGGGAACTTTAATGATTAAGAGTTTAGGCATGTGAAGATTTTCAGCAGTGTTGGGATTGGGAAATAGCTGAATGTGGTTTTGAGAACTACACCTTAAACATCTGAAGTGTGCATTACTTGGACTTTTTTGAAACACAAAAGCATCCATGTATTTTTTCAGTCATATGAAATACAGAAAAGACCTTCAGTCTCGCAGACAGCTTTAGATACCCTAAATTTTCATCTAAAAGACTTTATATTCCTCAGTATCTTCTTTATATACATGTATTTAGGTTGCCCAGAATTCCGGTACCTTTCAGGTGCTATGGGCTAGATACCATCTTCGCAGTTACTGTGATTCATCTCAAGCAACTATTAGACTTTAAAAAAAGTCTGAGACTCTGTGTAGTTAGCCAACAGATGAAAAGAGGAGTCCTCTGTTTGGACTCAGAAACTGTCAAACTATTCCTTATTTCCTCAATTTTTTTGCTAAGTAGGCCACAACTGCTTAGGTTCTTTACAGTCATTCATTACATGAGCTCTTAAAGCACTTAGCCAGGATTTCAGAGAAACATACCCATTTTAGAAGAATGCAAAGAAGCAAGCTGCTGTGTATCTGAATATTCTCAACATACTGTCCTGACAGAAGCATGTAGATCTTAGGTGCCTAACATAATTGTATCATAATCTTTGTATAAGCAGTTTTTGAGTGCATCCTTCTTTACATTAACTAAATGCTTATGACTCATCGGGAATGTATTGTGAATAGATAAGCATTCAAAAAAGAAGATATAGTTAATTACCTTAAAATAACTGTGGCTCTTGAGATTTTCTATATGCTGTCCATTTGTTTTTTACGTTGTCTTCTCCCTAGAACTTCAGTGCTGTGCTTGTAAATGAATTCAGGGACAATTGTTCCCTGCCATGGAACATGCATATTAAGAGTTGAATGTGATAGACAACAGATCTCAGAAGCCAACTCTAATAAGATAAATAACCATGACTTCTTTTTGTTAGCTGTCTTGATGGCTTGAAAATTAACAGCAATCCTAGACATGGAATATCTGAATACAGATCAATATGGTGATACAGATGCATTACCATTACTAACAAGAAAGTCATCAACCCTTGACCACTTAAATAGTCAAATAATCTTCAGTATTTACTTTTATAATACCTATTTGTTACTAGAGTCACTATTTATTACATACTTGAACTGCAGCAATTAGCAAACCCTTCTTTTTGAGGTAGATTCCTTTTTTTTTCTTGTATTCATTTTAAGAGCTTTCACTTTTTTCCTCTCCCATCACGCACAATATTCTAGCAACTACTGCATTTGTGACACGTTCTTTTTGGACTTTTTATTGGTGTTTGAAGTGATTTTAACTTCTAGTATGTGCTTGATTTTGGTAGATTCTGTTTGCTGATGGCACAGTGATTACAAGTCCTGATTCTGGCCCTGTCCTACCACCACCTACCATTCCAGATAACATGGAAATATTACTAGAATTGGAGCCTTTACCTGAGACCAGCACTAAGAAAGGTAACTTTTCCATTGTTTTGGACATAATTAAAGTCAGCCAGGCATATTTCTTCAGTCTGAAAATTCTGCCAGAGTGAAAATGCAATTTCATCTGTTCTCAGCTGCTGCACACTGCTAATGTATTATCTTCACTTCAAATAATTTCTTACCTATACTAGATTTCTTTTTCTTCTAACATGCTAGGACTCTAAAAAGTAAAAGGATATGTAAGAACTACATCAGTACCAGAGTGATTCAACACAAAGCTATTTTAAAATAAATCCCTCTAATTACAGCAGTGTCAAATCTTTACTTATGTATTACAATTTTTAGTCTTGGTATTAAGAAATGCTTCTCTTGCAGAGGACTTAACTTTTTTTTTTTTTCCTTATTGTATGTATTCCAGGGCATCAACTATTGGTCATTATTGGTTGTATGGACTTGTGGTGTGTCCCAGTATAATAATTCATGCACTGTTTTGTTTGACTGAGAAGGAACCAAGTAAATGTTTACTTCATACCTCAGAGTGAAGTCTAAGCTCACTGTCAGCACTATTTAGAAAACACAGAATTCTTATAAGCTGTCATCATAATAATTTATAATTTATTTGAAGCGTGTGAATAAAAATTGTTGCCAAAGAGAGGCCTCTCAAAAAGTGACTTTCTGAGCCATGAAGTCCAGTACTTGTTTTTAGTTTATATCTCTAGGAGAGCTGGAAGAATGTTTAAGAACTTCTCTGACAAACCATCTTAGAATTTTCAGTCTCAGCATCTGTGGCCAGTGCATATCCTTCAGTCCTTATCCTTCATTTATGATCACTTTTTCCCCTCCACTTTTCCTTTCCACTGCTTAGAATCCTGTCTGGACCTTGCTGTTGTCACTTAGTCTAAGTTGCTTTTCTCGAATATGGGAGACCAGAGTTCTCTATCACATTCTTAATAAGATCTTTCAAATTCCCTTCATAACAGAATGTCCATCCCTTTTCTTCTGGTGCACTGTAGAATGGTGTTTGCCTTTCTTGTCACCATATTTCCACACTGGTAGCTTGTAGTCATTCTGTGTGGAAGATACTCCGAGGTCTTTTCTTCTGCTGTTGCAAACTTTGTTTGAAGCAGGATTTTTTTTATTCCTTTTTGCATTAGATTTAATTCTAACAGGCTGTATAAAATTCCTGTTTCATCTTCAAGCTCAGTTTTGGATAGGTTGTTTTTTTCTCTGTAACCCATTCACATTTCTTCCTGTGCTGGTAGTCCCTTCCAAAGTCATGTCATAATCAGATGTCACTGGTATGCTGTTTGCTTTTTCTGTGTCATTAACAAGCACATGAAGCAAGCTCAAGAACTGCTGTGAGTAACAGCAATTGTGATTTCCTTCCAGACTGATAAACAATTCTTCTTTAAATTCTGTCAACATAAACATAAAGACTCTGCACTTGATTGGTTTTGTCTTTTGCCTTAGAGAATGCCAAGTCTGCAGGAAGAGGTAGTATCGGGAACGGTGTATCCACCAAGGATGAGTTGTTTGAAGATACTGGCCAGGGTCCAGTTAATTCTGAGCAACCTAAGGAGAACCAGGCAGGGACCTGGATAACAACAACCCCATCGGGCATTCGAATAGGCACTAAGGGAGCAAAGAGAATGGATCTCAAGCCAGTCTTAACCTATCAGGGAACTGACCCAGCTGATGGAACGGTATTGCTATTTTTGTGTTGTTATAGCACTGTTTACTAAGCTAGGTGACAGGGCTGACATTGTGTAAGTTGTAGGATTTTTCCTTTGAACACATATCCTACAGCATGTGTTATTACCCCATTACTAACACAAAAGCTTTAGAGTTTGAAGAAAATGTGATTGCTTGGTCTCTGAAGTAGATAAGTTGCAACAGTTTCACTTCTTCAGATTCAGTACATAATGCCTTATTTTACTGCTGTTGCTGTTAAAAGTATCAAGATTGTTTGTGACAAGTGGCGGAAAGACACACCAGGGTTGGAAGGATGGGGTGGTACTAGGGGCCTTCAACCTCTTGCCCTGAAGCATGCTGTGGACACTGCAGCACAGGTAAAGTCTTACTGAGATGAGCCAAGGGCTCCTGAGGGAACAGGAGACAGCAGGGTAGCACCCATGAAACGCCTTGGGGGAATAAAGGAGTGTTCCTCTAAGAAGGTGACATGGCCAGCAGGCCAGCTGAAGTGCCTCTACACCAATGCATGCAGCATGGGCAACAAGCAGGAGGTGCTGGAAGCTACAACATAGTGGCAATTATGGAAACTTGGTAGGATTAATCCTGTGACTAGAGTGTGGCTATCAATGGCTACAAGCTGTTCAGAAGGGACAGGAGAGGAAGGGGTTGAGATGTTGCCCTCTATATAAAGAATTGGATAGAGTGTGAAGAGTTGTCCCTAAAAAATAGCCATGAGCAGGTCAAAAGCTTGTTGGGTAGGAAGGAGGGATGGTGTCTCTGGAGACATTCAAGGTCCGGCTTGATGGGGCAATCTGTTCTAGTGTGAGATGTCCCTGCTTATTGCAGGGGGACTGGGCTAAATGGCCTTTAGAGGTCCCTTCCAACCTGAGACGTTCTATGATTTTAAGTATCACAGTGCTAATATAAATGAGTATTCCTTCATTCTTTCAGGTCATGACTGTACGAGATGATGAAGTGACAATTGTTGAGAAGCGGGATGGTAGTAGAGTAGTAGAACATGCTGATGGTACTAGGATCACAACTTTTTATCAAAAGCGTGAAGAGCATCTTGTACCAGGGGATAGTGAGAAACCAGGTAAAATCAAAAGAGGATCACTTATCTTTGATACATCTTGTGAAGCAGATAAAATTGTCAAAATACACTAAAAGCAGCTCATACCAATAGCCTAGATAACAAATCCACTCATTCGGTCTAGGTTTAGTTTGCTTCCTTAATCTTTTTTTCATTCTGATCAAAGTTTTCATTCAGTGCAAAGGTTACATTGTAGCAAACAGACAGTTTTCCTGCTTTCCAAGTATGTGCCTAACTGACCCTCCTTCACCACGAGGCCACAGTACCTGAGTTCTTGTATGTTCATTGCCTGCACTCCACCAACCCTGGTACAACAAGCAAGCTGATTTGAGTCTTAACTGAATATATGTGTAAGGATATCCTTATGTTCCCCAGAGAGGTCAAGGATTCACTGAACTTGGAAGTATTCAAAATTGGATTGAAAATGGCCATGGAAAGTGCCACACCTAGTAGAAGTGAAATTATATTTGCCTGAAACAAGTGGAGCTAACAGTCATCTGCATTTCTTCTGCCTGGCAGTATATTCTGTATGCTTAGTTCAGTTGCTGTAGAAATTCTGCAATTAACATGAAGGGTATGAATACTGTATGGGTGTCAGGGCTGTTGTGTTCTGGTTGTGGAACACCTGCCTGTGGAACTTTAAAAATCCAAACAGTGACCTTGAACTGCTCTGACTATTCAATAGGAAGGAAATGGCCAGATTAACATACCAGTTTGATTTGTTTTCCATGACTGTTTCTGCTGCTGGAAAGGAATTTATTCACGTCTTAGAGCTTGTATTGCAGGCATACATTTCAGTGCTCCAACTTGTATGTTACAAATATCCATATCATTGCCATTAGTACTGTACTCAATAAATTAGAGAGTACTTTCCTGATCACACCAGCTGCAGGTGGTTACAGACATTTTTTACAGTTGGATTTTCCTATGTTCAGTACACAATCCAAAAATTCGAAGACTGCATATTATGTGATAAAGGATGTTATGAGGTCTGAGGGACTTTTACTGAGGAATTAAAGGTCCAGCTTTATGAAAGAAAAAGCAAATTGAATCCTAAGACTTTTCCATGGTTCATGTGCTCATGTCTCATTGTTCTCTATTAATTCTTAGATGAATATCTGAAAACCATCACAAGGAAGGTGAAATGTATGCGAGTGGAGAATCCTAAGTTTGCTACTGTTACAACAAATTGTGAGGATGGTACCTGTTGTACCATCTTTGGAGATGGCACATCTATTATAGCAAAGCCACAGGGAACATACCAGGTACGAATTATTTTTAGCTTGTGAAATCTACCTTTGGTCGTGAAATCTGTATTTGGTTCCAAGTTCCTTGCCATCAGAGTCTTTCATCTTGACTATTTCAAATCCCTTCTCTATAGCCTTCAAACATCCTATGATTCCATCTCTTCTATACTCTGCCTATATTTAGATAACAGAGGTCCCAGTCAATTGGAAGCTGGCAAATGTCCAGGTTTTCAAGAAGGGTAAAAAGGAAGAAGGTCATTACAGGCCTGTCAGTCTTACTTCAGTGCCTTGAAAAAATGTGAAGGTTATTCTTGGAGTTACTGAAAAACACATCAGAGACAATACAGCCATTGGTCATTGCCAGCATGGGTTCATGAGTGCAAAGTCCTGCTTAACTTATTTAATTTCCCTTTTATGACATTGTAACCCACCTAGTTGACCAAGGGAAGACAGTAGCTGTGGGTTTGGTGTTGTTGTGGGGTTTTTTTAACAAAGCTTTTGGTTCACAGTATGCTTCTGCACAAAATGTCCAGCACACAGCTAGACAAGTCCACAATATGTTGGGTTACCAATTGGCTGATGGGTTCAGGCTCTAAAAGTTATAGTAAATGGAGTTATATCAGGCTGGTGGCTACTCACTAGTGTGGTGACTAGTGACTAGGGTCAGTGCTCTTTAATGTTTTTTATAAATTATCTGGACACAGAAATCAAATGTGCATTAAATAAGTTTGATGGTGATACTAAACTAGGAGGAAATGTGGACTCAAGGGTAGAGAGGCCTTACAGAGAAATCTGGACAAACTAGAGAGCTGGGCTGTCACCAACTGTATGAAATTTAACAAGAGCAAGTGCTGGATTCTTCACCTGGAACAGGTAATCCTGGTAATTTTTACAACTTGTGGGACATGAGGATGAAGAGCATCTTCACAGAAAGAGGTGTGGGAGTTTGGGTGGATGGCAAGTTAAACATGAGTCAGCAGTGTGCCCTGACAGTAAAAAGGGCCAACCATCACATGGAGTGTATCAAGCACAGCATAGCTAGCTGGCTAAGGTGGATTATTGTCCCACTGTGCACTGCACTGCTGCAGCCCCACCCCAACTACTCTGTTTTGTGCACTTCAAATAAGAAATAAAACATTAAACTATTAGATAGTGTCCAGAGGGCAACCAGGCTGGTGAACAGTCTCAAGGGCAAGGCTTAGGAGGAGCAGCTTGGTTTGTTAAGTTTGCAGAAGAGAAGGTTGAGGGGTGACCTCATCACAGCTTCCAGCTTCCTCAAGGAGGGAGCAGCAGAGGGGGAGGTCTGCTGACTCTGGTGACCAGTGATAGGACAGGAGGAGATGGAATGAAGCTGCATCATGGAAAGTTCAGATTGGACATTAGGAAAAGATTCTTCACCAAGAGGGCGATTGGTCACCTGAACAGGCTTCCCAGGGAAGTGGTCATGGCATCAAGCCTGTCAGAGTTCAAGGAGAGTCTGGGCAACCCTCTTAGTCTTATGGTATAGTCTGGAGAGGAACAGGGAGTTGAACTCGTTGATCCTTATGAGTCCTTCCAATTTGAGATATTCTATGATACTTTCTCGCAACTGTACAGTATATTTAAATCACAAGCTTTAAATTTCCTCAAGGGAAAGAAAATGTTACAGAGACTAACATCAACCTAACTTCTGGACCTAATCTTCCTTTTCTCCCTCTAGTCCCTCAAAACCGGATGATTCAATAGTAAAGGTCTGAGAGCTCTCATCTTGATTTGCATCTGTTCTTCATTGGTATGATACCTCTAAAATGAAGATTTTAGCTTTCGGGACTGAACCTTTTCCCTTCTTACTGTAATAGGTTTTACCCATCAAGGCAGGTTCTCTTTTCATTGATGAAGATTGCTCAGCAGTTTATACCCATGAAGTTCACAATTTTATCAGCAAGAAAGAAGAGAAACAACCAGAGAGATACATTATGAAACACACTTCAAGCACTGTTTGTGAGGTGATGGATTCTGAAGGAAATCTTTTCAAGGTAAACTACATGGAAGGAAACAAGTTTATTAATTTCAGTAATTTTTATCTTCTAAACATCTCTCAAAGTCAGCTTGTAGCCTTGTATCACTGAAAGTAACCTCGCCTGCTGGAAGGAACAGCTCCTGAATGAGGCCTCTGAAAGGTTCTTGAGGATGTGATTGTTTTCCTTTTTTTTGGCATTTTCCCCTTTTTATCAAGGTTGAAATAAAGCACGTGGTGTACAGTTTGCCTCATCTGTAAAGTTACCTTAATTAGTTGACTTGTCTTATAGCAAAAGATCATCTGTGCAATTGAGGATTAAAAATGGCATTTCAGAAGGTCCACAGAAACACTCTGATCTTCCTGATAAGGCAAATATTGCTGTAAAAAGGAATTATTCAGGCTCTAAAGTCACACTGATTGTGCTGTGATCCTTTCACACCTAAGAGATATTTTTGAGCTAGTTTAGTATTTAGTTTTGGGTTCAGAAAACATCATCTAAGTGTCTGTGACCTACATACTGTTTTCTAGTCAAAGGTTCTAATTCAAGTGTGACATATTTAGAGAATACTTTCTATTGCTGCAATTGTAATCAGTATGATTTTCCTACATTCCTGTGAAATGGCACTGAGGTTCCCCTGGATGTAGGCATTATTATACAGTTTTCAAGCTGGTTTCCTAGGCAGAAGAAACAGTGCCTATATAAATCTGTGCCATCTGCCAGTCTCTCTCTAACAGATTTTTAATTAATCAACAGAGGGGTAGAAATTTCAAAGATACCAAGCTCCTACAAAAGCAATGCAATTCAAAACAGCACAGAAGTTACCTGACATCAGCATCAGCACACCCTGGTCTTTCTCAGCTGATACTTAGGGAACAGAGAATGAAGACTGGGAGGCTCTGGGGCGCTTGAAGGTGTATTGTGGGAGCAGTGATCACAGGGAATATGGAGGGATGTATTAAGAAAGGTGAGATTAATGGTTGGTAGGAATGGCAACCACATACAGGTGTAGTAGGATTGGTTCTTCTCTGTCCTAGTCACACCTGATACTACAGGGAAACAGGTGTGAACTGGGTGTGTCAGATTCAGTTCATGGACCACCCTTGGGATCACTCCGGTTTCAGCTGTATCTTCCAAAGCACCTGGCCTTCAACTGACTATACTAAGAATTAGAGGCATTATTATATCTTGTGTGCATACCTTAATGGCACATAAGTTAATAATCACAAGGAGGAAATAGTGTGGAAATTCACTCAGTATTGTCATATGATTATCTTGGACTGTATTTCTCAAGTGAATAAATGCCTGAAAAGGGACCCCTCTATGATCTGTATCTAGAACTGTCTCTGTGTCTTCACATAGCAACATGTATATAGATGTGTTATATAGGTGTATGTATTTATACATACATATATACACCAGGTGTATAAATAGGTAGCTAGCTGGCTAAATAGATATAATGCGTATAATTTATATCTCTTCATGTCTATATAAATGCATGTGTATATATATATATATATATAGGGGTATATATTAGGGAATACATTCACCTATATGCATACACACACCTGTATGAATGTGCATATTTTTATATATACACACGTTTATATTTATATATACACCTATTTATGAGTATGTATGTACTATGTAACTATTATCTGACATACTAGCATATAGACATATATATATAATTATATATACATTTGTGTGTACCTGTCTATGTAGGTATATATATATAGATACATATATACCTCATAAAGGTTACATCAGAGCCTGTCTGAGTTACCTGGCTTGCCCAGCAAGTATTTGTGTGTGAAGTTGCCTGTTGATGCCTGCAGATATATAGGTTGAAGATGGAATGTCAGCATGGCTGGCCCCATTTGACAACCAACAGTCCCTGAGCGTTTATTAAATATCAGGTTGTGGTATTAGCATTTATCATACAGCATGTGTTTCTAGAAGTGTTTGTTATGCTTTTTTTCACTATCTCTTCAGTTTTCTTTGTCTTTTCCCTATGAGGGGAAAAAAAAAAAGGTATTTCAACCTGAAAGAAGTTTTCTCTGTCTCTTTCACTGGGCTAGATCATATTACAGTTCAGCAGCAAGTTATTGTTCTAAATGTATCAGGTAACTCAGTTTTATATAATTTCTATTGCAGGTCATGGCTGATGGCAGCACATCTGTGTCTGTTCGTAGCATTAGCTCTGATGACAAGAAAGACAGATGGTTCCCATCAGCACTCCCAGAATTTAACAAACCTATCAGTTATGATGAGCATGTACCCAGGTAAACTCCACTGGGTTCAGAGGTTTACACTTTCTTTCTTCACCACACTGTCTTTGTACAGGGTTTGTAAATTTGTGCTTCCCTTTTTCAGTACTCTGTATTTGCACATTTGATATCATCTTGGAGTTCCGTTTCCTTGTTTCATCACAGCACTTTTTCATTTTTGCCATCTAGAAAAGAATGAAATTTGAAAGCCATTGGATATGATTAGTGAGGTGGGTTGACCTCAGCCAGCTGCCAAATGCCCACCCAGCCACTCTCACTCCCCCTCCTCAAAAGTACAGGCAGAGAAAATAAAATGCAAAAGGTCATGTGTCAAGATAAAGACAGATCGTTTTCCTTTTGTTGTGACAGTCAATACAGACTCAGCTTGAGGAAAATTAATTTAATTTCTTGCCAATTAAAATAGAGTTGGATGGTGAGAAGCAAAAACTAGAACACCTTCCTCCATCCTCTGTTCTTCTCAGGCCCAGTATCACTCCCTCTTATCTGACCCCTCTACCTCTTCTAAACTGTGCAGAGAACTAGGGGGAATGCCAGTCCATAAAAGTTCCTCTCTACTGCTCCTTCTTCCTCACACTTTTAACCTGCTCCCGCATGAGTGCTTCCCATGAACTGCAGCCATTCAGGATAAACCTGCTCCACTGTTAGCTCTCCACAGTTCTTTCACTTTCCCATGAACTGCAGCCATTCAGGATAAACTCCACTGTTAAGCTCCACTGTTAGCTCTCCACAGTTCTTTCACAAAATACTCACCTGCACTGGTGTGGTCCTCACCTCAGACTGCAGGGGAATAACTGTTCCTCCACAGCCTCCTCCACAAGCTGTAGAAGGGATGTCTGCTCCAGCATCTGGAGCATCTCTTCCCTCTCCTTCTTCTCTGACCTTGGTGTCTGCAGAGCTGTTTCTCCCAGTTTCTCTCCTCACTCATCACTGCCTGTGTAGCATTTTGTCCTTTCTTAAATATGCTCCCAGAGGTGGCACCATCTTGTCTGAAGGGCTCAGCTGTGCCTACATCTGATGCAATCCCATGTGTGTGGCTTTGCTGTGTAGGTTCTTTGTCATCTATGTGGATGGTTCAGGAACTGAGCTCCTGCGGGGCAGTGATGTACATAAATACCTGGCTGAGGTCTCTAGTGATCCCACTGCTGCCATCTTGCAGGATCCTGTGCAAGAATGTCCAGGTAGGAAACATCCATTTCTTTTCTGACAAACTAATAGCAGCAATGATTAGAAAGGTGGAGCCAGGAGTTTCAAAACTCCTGTTGGACAGGAAATTTGAAAATGTTTTTCCTCATGTAGACAAGTGCCCTAACTTCTAGCAGTGAAGCAGGGGGAAGAAGGACCATGTGGGAAAACTCTGGGAAGCAAAGAATTAACTGAATGACACTGTAAAAAGATAAGTGAACAAACAGCTAGTGTATCTTTATCTGCTCTCAGACACCCAAACAAAAGCAATTAGCAAATGCATAGATTCTCTGGGTGTTTACCATCAAGAAACATTGAGTGTATGACAGTCTTCACTAATCATATACCTCTATTTATCAATTAAGACAGTGGTACTCTGATGTTAACCCTTAGACTGGCTGTTGGAAAGGATAAATATATGTTATTAAGAAGCTGGAAAAATAGGACTGAAGTAGGGGATGCCAGTAGTACAAAGCACCAAAGATCTGGTAGTAGCAGTACAAGAAGTTACACCCTAAAATGGGTAGTTGTCATTGTAAAGTTAGCTGGAGATACTGCTTCTATAAAATACACGGTGACATAACAGGTAAATACTGAGAAAATATATATTTAAAAAGACGGGAATGTGTGGTTCCTCTGGATATTGAGGGTTGATAAAGGGGATTTGCTCTAAGTCATAAGGTGCTAAGACATTCTTTGCAAATATTGATATCATAAGCACAGGGAACAGCTTTCCCACTTGTAACCCTATCAGGTTTTGGACAGTTTAAAATGCTGCTTCTATTTGTGATAATGACTAGTACCCTGTTGTATAAAGTGAAAGAAATTATTTTGCCATGGGAAAAGGAAAAGATGAAGGGCCCTGAGGGAGCTAGAAAGATAGCAAAAGGGGAAAGAAAGATCAGCAAGATGGACCCAGTGAGAATCCCAGTCAAGAAAACTTGCTAACAACCAGCAGGCATTAGTACTTGTAGCATGTCTGCTTTTCCAGACTTTACACTCCACCTTTCCCTATACTGGCTCAATTAGCCCTGACAACAAGGCTTCACAATTTTGCATGAATGTGACAAAATACCTCAGTGGCAATACCAATTTAAAAGCCCATCTAGGCAGATAATAGTAGAATAAGTAGATTTTTGGGATGGGTTGGAAAAAGTATTTTTAAGAACATTAAAATTAATGAGAACAATAAAAAGAGATAATAAATCATCTCTAGTGGAATCCATCCAGTGATCAGATAATGAAATGTAAAATACAGTGAAGAATGACACGTTCTGAATGTGTTAACCTACTTCTGAGATTAGTATTCAGTGAACATGGGTCAATGGTATGCTCTTCTTTGTTTGGGATACTCCACACACTATAGAGCTGAGCTTGTTACCCAAGACTCAAAGCAAGTAGCATATACAGTTTGTTGTGAAATACGGTCTGAGTAATACAAACTTGTCCAATTATCCTAAAATCACCTTAGTGATCTGGTATTATCTGTAGCCATGAATATCACGTTTTCACATAGATTTTTACTATTTGTTAACAAGGGGTTTTTTTATACTAAGGTAAGTATATTTTTCTGGAGGTCTGATACACTTGTCCATAATTTTTGGATTTGAACTGATTCTTAGCAATTGTATCTTTGAACCAGGTGTCTTAAGTATTACTATAATCCGCCCTTTGGCTGAAGACTCCCCCTGGGTCATGAAGAAAGAACCAGAGAGCATTGTTCCTCCAAATCTTCAATCAAGGACCCAGGACACATTTTCTTCTCTTGAGGTATAATTGTTTCAAAAGTGTCTTTTGCTGCTTAAGCAATAGATGCTTGTCTAAGGGTGGGGAAATGAAGCTCTAAACAATGTGACATCATTAAGTCCAGTTTATTAAGGCTTTTCAGATGAGACATACCTTGCTGATACATGCATTTAGTCAGTAATATTATAGCCTCTTGCTCTTTTTGCTTGTTCTTATCCATGTCCAGAGGAAGATCACGGGTCCCTCAACCAGAACATATAATTGGAGAGGTCTCTGCGTTGGATCCGCAGACCAGACGCGTTTGCCAGTACGGATGAGAAAATGTCCTAATAAACTGCAAATCCGTCAGCTCTTCCAGTATAAGTCACTCAATGATGAAGTAAGAGGAAAGCTGCAGCTTTACCTCAAGGTAGTACAATCACATTGATTCTTTCTTCCAGTAGGCAATAGAGAACAGACTAATTGGGTGACAGGAATTGGCAGTACATACCAGAGGGGGAAAAAAAATATCTACTACGTTGGAAGAACAATCAGCATTTCACACATAGACAGGTGCTGTAAGAAAAGTGTATTTCTGAAACAGCTCAATTGTTCCCATTCAGCTGTTGTGGAACCTACTTTTCTGTGCAAATATGTAGGATCCAATACACATAACAGAAAGTGCACTAACAGTTTTCTTCCTGTCAATATTGATATCTCTTGCTTTGCTTAAAGTTTAGTTTCCTTCACAAAACCTTAAAAACTTAAATCCATAAAGTTGTACAGGAATTTCTGACCCACCATATTCTACAGTTAACTTGGTGACCAGATCACTGGGACAAGTTCTAGACTTGGTTATGTGTCTGTTTTCATGAATCAGCACAGAACATTTCCAGGCTCAAGTCTGAGTTCTGTCACTCTGTCCATGTGTAGCAAATAGCTCTGTAGCCTTCTGACAAAGCATGTGCCCATCCCTCATGACTGACTGGTTCATAACCAGATGCAAGCTACACCTCACATGCAAATATTCTGAGTTGGAATTTGAAAGTTCTGCAGTTGATCCTTGTAAGCAACTTTGTGCTTCTCAGTGTCGGCATAAAACATTGTTGTATTTAATTCACATTGTGAAGATGTTGTTAGAAGAGATTTTAGAGTTAAAAACTCACTCTGACTTACCAATTAGAGAATAACAAAATACATGTGTTCTATAATTTACTCATTTAACATGTTTTGATGAAGGCGTTGAATTTGTTAACAACAGCTGAAATTTGTGAAGGTTGTAACGTGTTCTAGCCAGCTAGGTGGTTTATATTTTTATAAATTACATTTCAAAGAAGACATGCTTGCAACAGAAAAATATTTATAGTTGTTCAGCATGTTTAGAACATTCCAGTCTATCAGAATTAATTTCTTCCCTTTTACAGTCGACAGATATATTTAAATGATTCCTTAGTTTTCATGGTGTTCTTTCAAAGGTAACACTTCAGATTTCCATACCAAAATCCCAAATTAAGTCTCTCCATTAACAAGATCTGTTATTGGATTTTGAAGAAGGAAGAATGCTTTTTGTTACATTTAGAATGAATAATTGCAATTATTGGCACTGAAGAGTCATTTGTAATAAGTGTAATAATCTGCAGTGGAAATATCCTCATTGCTCATGTATCAATATTTAAATCATGGATTTTTCCAGAAAGAGGTATCTTAAATCATTAGCCAAATACTCACTTTGGCATAATTAAATCAAGATTTAAAGAAAAAAGTATTCTTCCTTTCTCCATCTCCTTTCAAGATTTAAGATGCGTGAAAGGAATGAAAAAGAACTGGAACCAGGAACTGACTGCTCCTGCAGACCGTGGCTGTTAATAAAGCTCAGTACTGCACGTAGCTTTCTAGCTAAGTGGTGTGTTAGGTCAGCCTTCTGTAAGGACCCTTTGTTTTTCTGTCCAACTGATCTTCTAAAGCATAAGGAGGTGTGGGAAAAGAAAAACATTCTTTTCTGTGCCACTTGGTGTGATTCTGGCAAAGTAAACTTCTGTCTAAAAATGAAGCATCAGACTTTTTCTGAACCTAATTTTTCAATTATGATGTTTGGTATTTTCTTTTCCCTAATAGGAGGTAAAAACATGAGGGAAATACAGATTGCAAACAATGTTCATTAGAACACCTTTTATTCATTAAGCTGATCTTAATACTATGATTTATTATTATTAGCAGCCATTTACTCAGCATGTTTCTTTATTCACTCTCAAACACTTGCACACTCACTTGTACTTGCCTGGCTGGTGCAACAGTTAGGAGGCCAATCGTGCCCACCTACTGAGAAGCAGGGAGTCACAGTGGCACACTAGGGCCATGGGTGTAGTTGTTGGTTGTGGTCCCAGTCACAAAGTTCATCATGGATGCTACCGTGTGCTAGTGGACTGGTGGAGATTCAGCAGAGTCTTGGTGTCCTTGGTGTATTAGTTCTTGCAGATTCAATAGTCTTGCTGGTCTTCAGAGCTGATTAGTCCTTGGTAGGCTTTCAACCTGCTGCCTTCTCAGCATGCATTCCTCTCTTTCACCTGCTGGTTTTAAAAAAAACTATTTATCTATGCAAACCTTTAGATATCTATATAAGCCATTCACACAAATTCACAGAAGGTACCCTTATGACATTGAGAAGAAGCATATATGTGCATTACCTCTACAAAATCTTTTCTCTGTGTATGTGCCCCATAAGTCTACCTCTGCAAAGAAAACATCTACAGCTTGTTATTTTTCATTGTTTCACCAGCAATATATCAACAACATTTTGAAGCTGGAAGATGAGCTGGAAGAGATGAATGTCAAAGAACCAAGAACAGAAGAGGAAAAGGATAATGCTGCAAGTCTCCGTGAACTGGCTATGGTGAGAAAAATACTAATGTGAATTACTTTTTCCAACAAAACCATTGTATTGCATTGGAAGTGTCAATCTTGAAACAAATTATTATCCATTAATAAAACAGCAAATGTTAGGATAACACAGTGCCAGCTCTCTTCTAATTTTATGATAAGGCAGAGCCACACTCAGCATTCAGCGGGGCTACTGAATGGCACTACCACTATTTTGGGGAAGGAATACTGGAAACAGGTAAAGAGATCAGCTGTACAGAATGGTACATTCCCAAACACACAGGCCAAAATTACTGAAATATGTATATCCCCCAACATTATAATGAGAATGTTTCCAGTCTATCGTCACTGCAGCTGAGAGACTTCTATTTCAACCACAGCTACCTCCATAATGAAAAGTTTTAACCCTGCTTTTGGGATAATCCAAAAACAGTCTGGAGGAATATTGCTGTTACTGCTGAGCTGCAGTTATATTTTTTGAAAATGTGCTCTCCTACTCTGCACAGATAATTAGAATATAAAAAAAAAAAGGAAGAAGAACTAACAGTCGGGAAACTGAGGTAAGTGGGAGATGAGTGTTAAAAAAAATGAGAAAAATTCAAGCAGCAAAAGTGGATGGGGTGAATTTGGATGAACAAGAGAGATGCCATTTACATCTTATTTAAAGTCATCAGTTTGCTGTATTTCAGTTATTTAAATTACTTGTTTCATACAGCTTCCTTTTGTTTGGTACCTCTCACAATGTGAATTCACATGATAGATTTTTAGTAGTTATTAAACACTGTTTTCATTTTTTACTGTCATTTAAGAAATATTTTTATTTCCATTTAGTTAACATATTAAATTGAGACATACTGAACTGAAAAATCTGGCATTTGAAAAATGAGATCTAGCCATGTTAGTTTTGATATTCACTATTAGGTGATCTATCTACCTTTTGAAAATGAGTGTGTTCTAGCAAACATCATCTTAGCATTACAATCTACCTTTTAAACCTTGTCTCAAAGGAAGTAGCTAGCAAAAATAGCCAGGAGTGAACTCACAACCTTTCTGGAAAAAGAAATATAGAGAAGTGATCTGTCAGTAACTGCATATGCCTCTATCCTCTAAGCAGACATTTATTTGCTTCTATGACATCCAGGAATCTCAAATGCTGCTCAGTTCCAGTAGACTTGTCTAGTGACTATTGATGGTTGTTCCAGCTGTTCTAGGTACAGATTTCACATTGAAAAAGTATCTTCTGAGCATTAGTCTCACTGTGGACCTGCTGTGACCCAGAAATTGGCGTCAAGAGTCTCCACTGTTTCTCAGCTCTGTTACCACCAAGCCTGCCTGGGCATGGGAACTCTGATTTCCAATTAACTGCTTCAGGGAAAGGATAAGAATAAAGGAAACAGTTTAGTTTAGAGTCTCTTACTCCTTAAACACTTCACTGTAAACCAACTGCAAGAGAGCTCCTCAGTAATGAAGCCTGCAAATTCCTGAATACATTTCCTGTTTGATTTGGTGTTGTGGCCATGAGTCTCAGATCTGTGTCAAGGCCTTTACAGAAGGATTTGAATTTGAACCGACATAGTTGGTTCAATAAACACCAACCCTAGGAAATACAAAGCCATCTGTGAAGTACATCATCAGGAAACAGACAAGCACCTGATTAGACCAGGGACATTGTCCTTCATTTTCTTTTTTCCCAGCTCATGTTTTCTGACACACTGGAACACCTCCATTCTTGCAGTCACGTTCTCAGGTAACAGGGTAACCCTTCTTTAGGATGGAGATCTCTGAACAGGAGACTGCTGCTGTGAGGTCTGTTTCTCACATCATCACAGGTTTTCCTTCTTCATTACAGACCTTACCTAACTGGGAGAAGTCAAGGGAGAATCTCAGTGATAAAGGTAATAAAAATTTGATTTCTATCTTTTAAAATTCTACAATATTGTAGTTTTAATTGTAGTATTATTTTTAAAAAGAAGTAACATGAAAGTGAATAAATCTAATTGCCCTGTGCCATCTTCTGTGTGATTTTCACAGGTGATTGGAAATAGCAAAATGTCTGGAGTTTTCTTAGGTATAAGAACTATGGCCGTACTTGGTTACTTTTATACAAGTGTTCATTTTTAGACAAGTTTTTCAGAGTAACTAGATAAATACTGGTTATTTATTACACTTGAAAATCTGCTCTTAAACAATCACGTGTCTTGGTTACATTAACCCTGCCTAAGGGAAAAGATGGAATAATGTATTAGCTTTCCCTTGTGTATTTCTGTTAAAGTTTTCTTAAGATACTTGTTAACATTAATAAATGTTTTCAATATGTACCAATAAAAATTAGGATAGTAGTTTCTTTTTAAAAATCCATAAACCTTTTCCACAGAAAAATTAATAGTATCCAACCGCATAGTGATGCCAGCCACTTTTAAAATGTTACCTTTCTGCCTTTTCTGCTTTGTTAAGAGTATTTCAGCTTGTTAAAAAAAACTACACATTGTACAGAGTAAATGGAAACTGCCAAACAAATGCTTAACAATTTTAGCATGGCATTATTAATGAAGATGATACTGTCAACAAAAAGCTCTTTAAAAGAGGGGAAAATAGAAAGAAGAATAGAAGTCTATTTTAAAGTTGACCAAAAAATCCCCATTTTGAAGTTTGTAGTTACTTATTTCCCAAAACACTAAGAGACACTGTCATAGTCAAAATCTCTCAAATACAATTCCTTAGTTTTGCCACAGCAATTTGTTTTCAAACAAGGAATTTCTTTGTACTCACAGTTTAGGTTCAAGGCATGAGCTGATCACACTTTACAGAAGATGTCAGAGGAAAGAGAATCTCTTTATTAAAGCCCCAGAGCTAGTCACAATCTTAAATATGGAAAGACTGGCTTTTCTCCTATTGAACTAGTAGTTCCTGCCATGACAATTGTTGATTATTTCTGCTTCACAACCACAATTTAGCACAACTTAAGTAAGCTGTAAGTACTAAACGTCCGCAGACAGAGACCTAGAATGTTGTTCCCCAGTCAGAAAGTGGCTGAATGTCAGTAACTTTTCCTACTCATGGGTATTTGCTTTGTATCGTGAAAGGACATAAAGATTTTTCAGGAAATACAGGGTGGGGGTAAGAACTTGATCTGGTTTTGGTGCTTTCTACATTTAACTGCATTAATTTCCTGTTTGTTAATGTTCTGAACTTGATTTTGGAATTAAGTTCTTTCAGTGTCTTCCCTCATAGTAATGAAGCAACCATCAAGTGACAGAAAGACACCTTAAAAAAATAATCCTTTCATTGTTTTTATTTGTAAGACTTAGTAGTGCTTTGCAGAAGATGCACATTCAGTAACTCTTCTACCTTGCAGCTCATGTAACTGAGCTGTATGAACAGGCAGTGCGTTCTCCTCGCCAATGGCGCACAGAGATGGCAATCACTATGCAAAGAAAGGACCAACAGCAGAGATTCAGGTAGGACAGACCAGTGAGAGCTGATGCAAATGTAAGTAACACCAAGGGTGGAACCAAACACACAGGCCAGGCAACGCATCTTACTGACTGTTCCTAAGGACTAGGGCCTAGATCTCTAGATACATATCACGACATTTTATTGGCTTTTCCTATGGTTCTTTAGTGCCTCTGTGCCTCTTCTTCTTATCTGAAAGATAATTTAAAGTTGGTTGCAGAAGGATTTTGAGGGTTTCTTTGGTTACATAATTAAAGTGCAGTATGAGCAAACAATTTTGTGCAAACCATAGAAGTTCAAGTCGGGATTCACCTGATGTGTTCATATAACTTACTCTCATAAAGAGTGTTTTCTTTTCAGGGTTATCTTGTAAATATTCTTGTGCCTGTAGAACATTATGCTCGTTTTCTCGTTTTCAATACTTTTTTCTTTCTACTTCATTCAGCCCAAAAAGAGTACCAGTGTCCAAGTGGAAGAAAAGACAAAAAGAGCACAGGTAATAATATTAGTAGAACAGTAATGTATGTATTTTATAAGCCAACTGAAGTCTCCTTTGGAAAGACTGTTCCTGATTTTGTTCCTGTAACAGAAATGCTCAATGGATGGTTTGAGTCTCTCTCATTTTTTTCAGAACCTGGCAGTGTTATTGTTAATTCCTGTTATTGAAAACAAGGCTGAAGCCAGAAGCCCTGGTTCTGTTTCCTGGTTCTGCCAGCAGCTTGGAAAATGAGTTGTATTCATATATTTTCAAAGTCTGATGCTTATTTAGGTTAAGATTTGCATATTCCATGCATCCCAGCTGCTTTTTCAAATTGAACCCCAGACACATGTCTGTCTGTCACATGCTAGTGCTTCATTCTCAGGGCAAACCTGTCCCAGCTCTCTCAGCCCCTCCTCGTATGAAAGATTCTCCCAGCCCTTGATCATCTTTGTGGTCCTTATGATTATCAGGGAGCTCAGAAACTGGCACAGTACTCCTCATGTTGCTTCACCAGTGCTGAGTAGAAGGGAAAGGTTCACCTCCCCAGACTTGCTGGCAACACTCCTCCTCATGCAGCCCATTATGCAGTTTTGGAGAACTCCCTGTACCTCAGTTTCCTGCTTGTAAAGTTTTTCCCCTGAGAGTTCTGAGGCAGGTGCTGTAAGCTTTGGACTAGAAGTGCTTGGACAGGAGGAAATCTGTGTGTGCATCTGCTTATGCATATAAACATAAACGTTTTTGTAACACTGAAACTTGTATTTAAAACTGACCTGCAATTTTAATTTGAATCACCTTCTCTTCCTCTCAGGTTTTTGAAAAATGTCCCTTTATCTCCCACTGAGGAACAGTGAAGCTGTTTAATGAGGTCATGAAAAAGAATCTTTATAGATCCTTTGAAACAGCATCTATTGCTTAAAGTGTACATTTCACAATCAGATTAATTTTAATGGGAATTTCTTCTCATGTATAAATCCAAAGACACTGGATTTCAGCCTGCAGATATGGTAGTTCACAAAAGCATTTGGAAAAAACCCAGGAGTAAAAACTCCAAGCCATTATTAATTGAGAGAATATTAGGATAACATTATTTTTTGGAAAGTCACTTTATGGACTCTTTTTCCATGGAGATACACGGAATCCTAGAATCGTCCAGGTTGGAAAAGACCTTCAAGATCATCAAGTCCAACCATCCACCCTACAAGCCCTAACCACTAAACCATCTTACAGAACACCATGTCCACCTCTTTATGTAACACCTCCAGGGACGGTGCCTCCACCACCTCCCTGGGCAGCCTGTTCCAATGCCTCACCATGCTTTCTGTGAGGAAATTTTTTATAATATTCAGCCTGAACTTCCCCTGGTGCAACTTGACCCCATTTCCTCTTGTCCTATCCCTAGTCACCAGGGAGAAGAGGCCAACACCTTCCTCCCTGCAACCCCCTGTCAGCTAGATGTAGAGAGCAATGAGATCTGCCCTCAGCCTCCTCTTCTCCAGGCTGAACAGCCCCAGCTCCCTCAACCTCTCCTCACAAGACCTGTTCTCCAGACCCCTAATCAACCTAGTTGCCCTTCTCTGCATCTGCTCCACCACCTTGATGTCCTTCCTATACTGCAGTGCCCAAAACTGCACACAGTGCTCAAGGTGCAGCCTCACCAAGGCTGAGTAGAGGGGCAGGATCAACTCCCTGGTCCTGCTGGTCACACTATTCCTGATGCAGTCCAGCATGCCATCAGCCTTCTTGCCCACCTGGGCACACTGCTGGCTCATATTCAGCTGGCTGTCAGTCAACACCCCCAGGTTCCTCTCTGCTGGGCAGCTCTCCAGCCACTCCTCCCCAAGCCTGTAGCACTGCTGCAGGTTGTTGTGGCCAAAGTGCAGGACCCAACGTTTGGCTTGACTGAGACTCATAAAGTTGTCCTTGGCCTATCAGACAAGCCTGTCTAGATCCCTCTGCAGAGGCTCTCTGTCCTCAAGCAGACCGACACTCCCAGCCAGCTTACTGTCCATCTGCCAACTTACTGAGGGTGCACTCTGTACTTTCATCTAAGTCATGACTAAAGATGTCAGATGGGATTAACCAGGAAAAAAAAAAAAAGTTACTTGCCTTTTTATCCCTTCCATTCCTCAGTGTTTTAACCATAATACGGAAAAAAGAGGATCAACTCGGTTATAATGCTTTTTTCTTTCTTTTCCTTACCAACAATGTTAAAACTTACTTAGGAAAGAACTTGAGGAGGGAAAGGAGTACATAATGGCAATAAGAAACAAAACATTTCCTCCGTATTTTGAATCAGAAATCGGCAAAGAGTTTCTCCAAAAACAGGTAACATAGCTGAAAACTCGATTAATTTGTGTTAGGCCAGCTAGTTTCTGTCATAGTCCCACAAAGACAGTTGTGAGTTTACTTCTCAGCCTCAGTTTATCTCAAGAAACCATTTCTGGGGACAGTGGTGGCAGAAATTAATACTGGGAATTTCATTTTCTTGTCAGAGGAAACATGTATTGGAATAGATGACGTTTATTGAGGGCAAACTCTGTAGGTTCCTTACAGAAACTCTGGAGAGAGTGTGATTGAGAGCAGAAGCTGAACCTCAGGTCTCTTCACTTACCCCTCAGAAACCTCTCTCCTCTAACTAGAAGGGGAATTAGTAGGTCTGATCACCAACCTTCCTGGGTTAAAGACAGCCTTAGGAACTTTCCTGTTGTCATCTCCCCTGATAAATGCTGTAAGTGCACAAAAATACTCAAAACATACTTTGAAAACTGAGATATAGTTATGCTTATCTTATTTGTAGTTACCACTTTTGTTCTGCCTTTTTTTTTCCCAAGTTTTGTTGTTTGTTGTTGGTTTTTTTTGTAGTTGGGGGGAGAGTGATGCCTGCTGGAGTTTTTTTAAGTGTTTGGGAAACCTAAAGTCTCTTTCTTTGCTCTAGATTGCTGATGCGAAAGCACAGGCTGAGGAGCTTAAAAAAAAAGAGAGTGAAAAATTGCCTCTTGACGCAATAAAAAAACCCAGCAGAGGTAAGTTGAGCTCCACTGTCTGGTAACATTTTAGTGTCTTCTTCATTATTTTATCTAGTTGATTTGTTCATATCATTAAGATTATGTTATCTGACTCACATGTATTCCCAGACATTTTAACACATGAACTGTTTGAACCACCATGGCTGTATGTATTCTGATAAACTAAACATACCCAGCAGCATTCCCTGACACTGAGATCCAAAAGTATGGAGGAGGCTGTGTAAATTCAGTCTCCTAAAACAAGATGGCCTTTTCTCTGGCCAAAATTTTGTACCCCAGAGTTGTCTTAGGGGAGACTGCTAAGTGGTATATTTAATAGCAAGCCAGCGTTCCAACAGTTTAACAGTGTAGATTTTCACATTCCAGTATCTGGGAATGTTCCTGTTCAATCACAGACTCACAGAATGTTAGGGGTTGGAAGTGACCTCCAAAGATCATTGAGTCCAACCTCCCTGCCAGATCAGGACAAAAAAACACTAGGGCAGATCACTCAGAAGGGCATCCAGACAGGTCTTGAAAGTCTCCAGAGAAGCAGAATCCACTACCCCTCTGGGGAGCCTGTTCCAGTGCTCTGTAACCTCACAGAAAAAAATTCTTCCCCACGTTGAGGTGGAATTTCCTGTGCTTCGGTTTGAATCCATTGCCGCTCATCCTGTCACAGAGCACAAGTGAGAAGAGGTTGTCCTTACCTCTTGATGCTCAGCCCTCGTGTATTTATAGACATTAGTTAGTTCCCCAGTCAGTCTTCTCCTCTCTAGACTGAAAAGCCCCAGATCTCTCAGCCTTTCCTCATAAGGCAGGTGTTCCAGACCCTTCATCATCCGCATAGCCTCCATTGGACTCTCTCAAGTAGATCCCTGTCCCTCATGAACTGGGGAGCCCAAAACTGGACACAGTACTTCAAGTGAGGTCTCACCAGGGCTGAGTAGAGTCGTCTATGAGACTTGTACATTTAGTGTATTAAAGGAGCCTTTGTAGATATCACTGAATGTGGAAGCACCATAGGCCTTGGATGCAAAGGTGAAAAATTGTGCTATGAATGCTGCAAAATGCTCAAGAAACACTTAAATGGAATAAACAATAGTTAGGGGTGGATGAGCAAGAACTGAGGAGGTCAAATTTAGAAAAAGACTAGAATAAGTGCAGGAAAAAAATCTGGGAGATAGGATTTGGAAACTCAGCAGTAAGAGGGGAGCTTGGGGAATGAGGAAAAAGCAATAAAAAAATAGGAAACATAGAAGGCCAAAGGTAGTTTGAAGGATAGAGGAAGAAAGCAGTGATTGGTTGACAGGGAGCAATGGAAGAGTGAACCATCATCTTAGGTTTGAGCTTCAAAGCACTGAGAGGAATTCTCCCATCCTGTTTAAACAACAGCTCTGACTAATTACTGAAATAACATAGATTGAGTTATACACAACAAAGAAGCATATCAGGAAGGCTGCCCACCACAGGGCTTTACCAGACCCCCACTCACTCCCCTGTTTCCTCAGTTTGCAATGACCATGTTGCAGACACCAGAAGACCTGTGTTGGGCTGCCTGTCAGCCCTTCATGCCTTATTGCTCCATTAGCTAGAGAACAAGAAATGGCTAATCACAAAATAAGCATTTTTGATCCCTGTTGCTGAGGGAAGCAAAATGTCCCGTGCGGAATTTACGCAGCCTCTCATGCTTGTGCAGACAGCTTTCCAATTTTGTCTAAATTAAAGTGCCGAAGACTTTCTGATTATTTTTTTTATTGTGTGTAGCAGAATGGTGATGGTCATGAAAAAAAAATAAAAAATAGGCCAATTCTTCTATCCTTGAGCTTTCTTAGAAAATATAAGTCTTTTCTGAACAAGAACATCAGGATTAGGCTGAGTATGAAGCTTCATTTTTCATGCTTTTGGAAATCTTTGCTTTCCAGGTGCAAACAAGGCTTCAAGATCACAAGAAACACCCTCTAAACGTAAAGGTCAGAGTCCGCTGGCGAAAGCTGCAGGAAAGCGAAGAAAAGATAGAGAGAAATCACCATCATCCCTTCAGGGGAAAAAAACAAAGTCCTTATCAAGTAAAAAGGTAAAAGAACATATGCTGTGTTCATAATAGTTCCTCTAAGTCTGGACCTGCTGTGACCCAGAAATTGGCGTCAAAGAGTCTCCACTGTTTCTCAGCTCTGTTACCACCAAGCCTGCCTGGGCATGGGAACTCTGATTTCCAATTAACTGCTTCAGGGAAAGGATGAGAATTAAGGAAACAGTTTAGTTTAGAGTCTCTTACTCCTTAAACACTTCACTGTAAACCAACTGCAAGAGAGCTCCTCAGTAATGAAGCCTGCAAATTCCTGAATACATTTCCTGTTTGATTTGGTGTTGTGGCCATGAGTCTCAGATCTGGTTCAAATCCTTTACAGAAGGATTTGAATTTGAACCGGCATAGTTGGTTCAATAAACACCAACCCTAGGAAATACAAAGCCATCTGTGAAGTACATCATCAGGAAAGAAACAAGCACCTGATTAGACCAGGGACATTGTCCTTCATTTTCTTTTTTCCCAGCTCATGTTTTCTGACACACTGGAACACATCTATTCTTGCAGTCACGTTCTCAGGTAACAAGGTAACCCTTCTTTAGGATGGAGATCTCTGAACAGGAGACTGCTGCTGTGAGGTCTGTTTCTCACATCATCACAGGTTTTTCTTCTTCATTGCAGACCTCCCCTAAGTTGGAGAAGTCAAGGGAGAATCTCAGTGATAAAGTAATAAAATTTTTATTTCTATATTTTTAAATTCTACAATATTGTAGTTTTAATATGCTGTAGTATCATTTTAAAAAAAGAAGTAACATGGAAGTGAAAGAATCTACGTGCTATGTACCTTCTTCTGTGTGATTTTCACAGGTGATTGGAAATGGTTAGCAAAATGTCTAGAGTTTTTGTAGGAATGAGGTTTTTTCAGTGTCTTCCCTCATAGTAATAAAGAATCTGTTAGGTTTTCATTAAGCGACAGAAAGACACATTAAAAATATATCCTTTCATGGTTTGTATTCATAACACTTAGTAGTGCTTTGCAGAAGATGCACATTCAGTAATAATTTTACCTTGCAGCTCAGGAAGCTGAGCTGTGTGAAGAGGCAGTGCCTTCTCCTGGCCCGTGTCCCACAGAGATAACAGTGACAACAGAAGGAGAGGACCAACAGCAGAGATTCAGGTAGGACAGACCAGTGAGAGCTGATGCAAATGTAAGTAACACCAAGGGTGGAACCAAACACACAGGCCAGGCAACGCATCTTACTGACTGTTCCTAAGGACTAGGGCCTAGATCTCTAGATACATATCACGACATTTTATTGGCTTTTCCTATGGTTCTTTAGTCCCTCTGTGCCTCTCCTTCTTATCTGAAAGATAATTTAAAGTTGGTTGCAGAAGGATTTTGAGGGTTTCTTTGGTTAAATAATTAAAGTGCAGTATGAGCAAACAATTTTGTGCAAACCATAGAAGTTCAAGTCGGGATTCACCTGATGTGTTCATATAACTTACTCTCATAAAGAGTGTTTTCTTTTCAGGGTTATCTTGTAAATATTCTTGTGCCTGTAGAACATTATGCTCGTTTTCTCGTTTTCACTACTTTTTTCTTTCTTCTTCATTCAGCCCTGAAGGAGTAACATCGGAGACTGAGTGTGAGAGTGGACTAGAAGAGAACAGGTAATAGTATTTGTAGAACAGTAATGTATGTATTTTATAAGCCAACTGAAGTCTCCTTTGGAAAGACTGTTCCTGATTTTGTTCCTGTAACAGAAATGCTCAATGGATGGTTTGAGTCTCTCTCATTTTTTTCAGAACCTGGCAGTGTTATTGTTAACTCCTGTTATTGAAAACAAGGCTGAAGCCAGAAGCCCTGGTTCTGTTTCCTGGTTCTGCCAGCAGCCTGGAAAATGAGTTGTATTCATATATTTTCAAAGTCTGATGCTTATTTAGGTTAAGATTTGCATATTCCATGCATCCCAGCTGCTTTTTCAAATTGAACCCCAGACACATGTCTGTCTGTCACATGCTAGTGCTTCATTCTCAGGGCAAACCTGTCCCAGCTCTCTCAGCCCCTCCTCGTATGAAAGATTCTCCCAGCCCTTGATCATCTTTGTGGTCCTTATGATTATCAGGGAGCTCAGAAACTGGCACAGTACTCCTCATGTTGCTTCACCAGTGCTGAGTAGAAGGGAAAGGTTCACCTCCCCAGACTTGCTGGCAACACTCCTCCTCATGCAGCCCATTATGCAGTTTTGGAGAACTCCCTGTACCTCAGTTTCCTGCTTGTAAAGTTTTTCCCCTGAGAGTTCTGAGGCAGGTGCTGTAAGCTTTGGACTAGAAGTGCTTGGACAGGAGGAAATCTGTGTGTGCATCTGCTTATGCATATAAACATAAACGTTTTTGTAACACTGAAACTTGTACTTAAAACTGACCTGCAATTTTAATTTGAATCACCTTCTCTTCCTCTCAGGTTTTTAAAAAATGTCCCTTTATCTCCCACTGAGGAACAGTGAAGCTGTTTAATGAGGTCATGAAAAAGGATCTTTATAGATGCTTTGAAGCAACATCTATTGCTTAAAGTGTACATTTCACAATCAGATTAATTTTAATGGGAATTTCTTCTCATGTGTAAATCCAAAGACACTGGATTTAAGCCTGCAGATATGGTAGTTCACAAAAGCATTTGGAAAAACCCCAGGAGTAATCTCCAAGCCATTATTAATTGAGAGACTAATAGGATAACATTGTTTTTTGGAAAGTCACTTTACAGACTCTTTTTCTGTGGAGGGACATAATTATATTGCTTTATTATAGAATTTTTTAGTACCACACCAAAACTGCTCATTTTAGCATTGAGCACTAAAGCTATTATCATTTTCAGTTCTAGAGGAAAGGGCTTGTGAATCTGACAGAATTATCAGATTCCTCAGTGGAATCAAAGCATGAGAGTTTAAACTTAAAGAATTAAAAATAGGCAATTAATTTATGTTGAAATATAAAACCTGATACATGAACTAGGATTATCATAGATAAAGTTATCTGTAACCTAGTTGTTCACAATGGGATTAAAATAATTGTATTGACAGCTGTTTAGGTCATTCATGGTGTCTTAGGTTAGACAGAATAACTTGAAGTGGTGATGAAATAATGTTGTTATCACACACTTGCTTTTCTTCCTTCTTTTTGGGGAGGGCTAAATAGCGATTGAAAAGTAAGTTCTCTTACATACTTCTTCTTAATTGTTTTTTAACTGCCTTGCATGAGATTAAAAAAAACTTCTGTAATTTCAGATGTGTATTTTAATACTGTTTTGCATACTATTCAAGGAATTACTTTAAATATATCTATCAGATTAACCAGCACCCAAGAACATCATGTGCAATTCTGTCAAGTGTTAGAACTCTCAATATGGTTAAGAGTGGTGACTTTATAGCTGGTTTTAGTCACTGCAAGCCAGTGAAAGTGCACTTGTGTAAAACTGAACTAAATCAAGCTGAAAAGATAACTGGTCCTGACTGTGGTGAATTTTACCTTCAGAAGTTTGAACAGCTTTTTCTGTATCATCAGAGCCATAGAGTTTTTCTGTCATGTAATAGGGAAATTAGACTAATTTTGTATTATAAATTATAGCTATGCATGTGAAATACTAATTCTCAGATTTAAATGTTCATTGGAAGTTTGGAAAGATACTGGTGGCAGCCTGAGACATGTTCCACAAGATGTAGAGAACTGGAGCATTTTGAGGAGGAGCAATTCCCAGCAGCCAATCCACAGTCCATATGCATGCTGATCAGCCTGATCAGCATTGATCATATCCTCCAGATCTGAGGAGGATGTTGTCAGTTCCTGCCAGACCAGCCTGTTCTTGATCTATCACTGAGAAAATTTACAATTACAGGAATATAATTGGATGGGATTAACCAGGAAAAAAAAAAAAATCCACTTGCCTTTTTATCCCTTCCATTCCTCAGTGTTTTAACCATAATACGGAAAAAAGAGGATCAACTCGGTTATAATGCTTTTTTCTTTCTTTTCCTTACCAACAATGTTAAAACTTACTTAGGAAAGAACTTGAGGGAGGAAAGAAGTACTTAATGGCAACAAAAGACGACATATATCCTTCATATTTTCAATCAGCAATTGGCAAAAAAATGATCCCACAAAAGGTAACGTGGCTGAAAACTCAATGAATTTGTGTTAGGTCAGCTAGTTTCTGTCATAGTCCCACAAAGATAGTTGTGGGTTTACTTCTCAGCCTCAGTTTATCTCAAGAAACCATTTCTGGGGACAGTGGTGGCAGAAATTAATACTGGGAATTTCATTTTCTTGTCAGAGGAAACATGTATTGGAATAGATGACGTTTATTGAGGGCAAACTCTGTAGGTTCCTTACAGAAACTCTGGAGAGAGTGTGATTGAAAGCAGAAGCTGAACCTCAGGTCTTTTAACTTCTCCAAGTTTTGATGGGTATTTTTTGTAGCTGGGGGGAGGGTGATGCCTGATGGGGTTTTTTTAAGTGTTTGGGAAACCTAAAGTCTCTTTCTTTCTTTGCTCTAGTTTTCTTATGTGAAAGCACAGCATGTGGGACTTCCTCCAGTTCAGAAACAGGAGAGTGAAAATTTTCCTCTTGAGATGATTGAAAAACCCAGCAGAGGTAAATTGAACTCTACAGCCTGGTAACATTTTAGTATCGTCTTCACTGTTTTATCCAGTTGATACATTTCATATTGCAGCTGAATTTAAGTTTATTTATTATTATTTAGTACTTGTGAGATTGAGTTATACATAACAGAGAAGCATATCAGGAAAGCTGGTCTTTTTCAGACCCCCACTCACTCCCCTGTTTCCTCAGTTTGCAATGACTATGTTGCAGACACCAGAAGACCTGTGTTGGGCTGCCTGTCAGCCCTTCATGCCTTATTGCTCCATTAGCTAGAGAACAAGAAATGGCTAATCACAAAATAAGCATTTTTGATCCCTGTTGCTGAGGGAAGCAAAATGTCCCATGCGGAATTCCCATAGCCTCTCATGCTTGTGCAGACAGCTTTCCAATTTTGTCTAAATTAAAGTGCCAAAGACTTTCTGATTATTTTATTTATTATGCGTGTGAGAACAGTGATGGTCATCAAAAACACTTGTCACATTATTTTCCTGTTAACTTCTCGATGTCTCAACACCATGACAGATTCCTCACCTTCACCTGACCTTCTGCTTGAGGCACATTCAGAACAAACTGAGGGTTCCAGTGCCAAAACAGGTATGGTTGCCTTCAAGAATGTAGTTTGGAGCAGGTTAACATCTATCTTTTTACACCTTTTGACAAAAAAATATTTACAATAGAAATTTAAATCCACTTGTATCTGATCAGCTTTCTGAATACATCTGGATGCAAGACTGGCAGAAAGGGAGAGAGGCATAAAACTAATGGGAGAGATTCTTTGCTTCACCCTAGGGAGGAAAACACCATCCAGCTGTGGTAGCTGTCTTCTCACCTCACTTACTCTGTTTTCCATCACTTGCACTGGTGTTTATGTCTTCACTGCAAGTTTTCACTGAGATGCTGCCAACTAATTAGTTCTAATAATTATAGTTCAACTTTATTTATTTGTTAAATATTAATTCCTTGCAACTATTAAGGAGGTTTCCTACTGCCCTTCTTGACCTCTTAAATAAACATTAGACCAATTCTCCTATCCTTGTGGTTTCATAGAAAATAAAAGTCTTTTCTGAACAAGAACATCAGGATTAGACTGAGTATGATGCTTCATTTTCTGTGCTTTTGGAAATCTTTGCTTTCCAGATGTAAACAAGGCTTCAAGATCACAGGAAACACCCTTTAAACGTGAAGTTCAGAGTCTGCTGGTGAATGTTGCAGGACAGCCAAGAAGAGAGAAAGTGAAATTACCATCCTCCCTTCAGTGGACAAAACCAAACTCCATACCAAATAAAAAGGTAAAAGAACATATGTTGTGTTCATAACAGTATCCTCTAGGTCACCTCTTTTGTGTGAAATACTCATTCTGAAACAATACCATATGGTATTTTGAATCTTTCTACTGAAACAATAGCAGTTGCAATTAATGTGTAAGTTTACTGGCAATTCTAAAAGTATTGTTCCTCTCAACTGCCAGGACAAACTCATTACCCACATGAAAGCTCTGATTTCCAGAAGAACAGGGCTTCCCCCATTCCTCCTGAGATATGTAAATGGCTTGAAATGTCTGAAAACTCAAAACCAGTAGAAATTTGCAGGTAATATTAAAAGCATCTCTTCAGTTTTTACTCAAATTAGGTTGTATTTTTGTAATTCTTCAGGATGAGTGGACAGAGGTCAAATATAGGTTAAGTAATCTGAACCCAACTTGGTGGCCACCAGCTTTCTCCGTTGTCTAATATTTTAATTCTGTTTGCAAAGGTAGAAGATACTGTTGCAGGAAAGGTCAACACATCTTCTCTTGCAACAAGAAAACAGGATCTTAGCAGTTTCCATCTCATTCCACCCAGTGTGACACTTGGAGTGCTAAAGGAAGGCTGCACCTATGCAGCCACTGTGATCCTGAAAAATGCTGGTGTGAATTTCTCAAGGTCAGTTTGAATTTTTAGTACCATGGTTTTTAAGTATCCAATTATGCATTGCTTGTTAATTGTCGATCTCTTTGGATCTGATCAACATGAGATAAAAAAACCCTCGTGATCATTCCACCAAATAGGCACTTTAGAAATCTGTTCAAGACCAGCTGCTTCCATCAGAATGGATGGCAGAGATTTTTTTATTTTTTTTTAATTGGCCTAGTTAGATGTGGCCTCAAAGACATTTTTTTCCTTTCATGCACATTTAAGCATGATGGTGCTTGCATGATAGCAGATCACACACCAATATCCTAGACTCCAAGACATGCATGTTACTTCTTGCTCTGTAGACAATCAAGGAAATTGCCACCATTATTCTGATAAATCTAGCTTCTCTTTTAAGCCTTTTACTTGATGCTTGCAGAGGAGAGCTAAGTGCCTAACTGCTGAATGACAGCAGAACATGCTGAGGGCAGGGACAGAGCCAATGGTGGGCAATTCTGAGCCATGTCTGCCTCATGCTGAAGCCAAAACATTTCTGTGGCAGTCTGTAGTTAACTATGTGCCTTCTGAACAGTCCATACCATAGCCTGAACTTGGTAGGGCATCCTGACAAAAATCGAGTCCGGTTTGTCCTAACAGCCAGCTCTCCAAAGAAGCACAGGAATTTTGGCAGCCAGTTTTTAATTCGGCCAGAGCTTTCCAAAAGATGGAGTTATATCCTAGAAATGCCTCTTCTACTGCCTTGCCTTTGACAGCTTCTGGTGCAAGTGCATGCTGGTAACTCTTCTTCAGGTGGAAATGAAAATCACAGGGTGAACTTCAGAGCTTTGCAAAAGCAGAGGTCACATCTGCACTAATCGTATTCAGAGATCTTAGCAGTGGAAGTTGCATGCACAAAAGGACTGCACAGATGTGAAACCATCAGTGAGAAATAGGGAAGTGAAACTACTGCCTTAGTGGGTACTGGGAAATTATTTACACAAAATTTATACCAGCATCATGCCTCCTGCAACAGAATCGTGTCAAAGGACATGGAATAAAGTTCAGGGCTCCTGGGTGCATGACCTGCAGGTATTTGCCAAGAAGATGTAATTTCTACTTCAGCTTCCTTTGTGTATGGAGGCTTAGAGTGCTGCTATTTCACATTCTGTTGTAAGGACCAGGCAGTGCAACGAACTCTTTGGGGATGTACTTTGGCCTGTTGATCTGCTTCTTTGGGGTTTTTTTTGTTAGAAACCTGAGTCTTGGCAAGAAGCCCAGGAATATCCCTGTAGCCTAAGTTGTACATATTGTGACAGGAAGGGTAAGCTAGCAAATTCTGCTGCTGTTTGCACAAGCAGAGGAAGAGCAAACACCCTGCTTCCCAGCAGTGACCTTCTGCCTGCCTGAAAGTTTCTGGCAAACTGATTCTTCTCTTTCTCACAGGTTTCGGGTGAAGCAACCGCCTTCGCACACTGGACTGAGAGTGACATATGCACCAGGACCTGTAGGTTACACAGAAGATACTTTGGTTTTTGCTAGTCTCAGGTGGCATTCAGGCCATCTAGGGTTCCTCTTGCACCAGCTGGCTGGGAATAGAGCCAGCAGGGTACATGATGTGTTTAAAGTTATTTGAAGTGCTGCTGCCTCGTGTTGTCCTGCTGCTGCCTTCAACCAAGCACCCTGTGCACTCTGAGTCTCAGTCTGTACCAGAATGCAGAGGGATAAACACCTTAAGTTCAGTGGAAAGCAGCAGGTCAAGCACTGAGTTTAAAGAGAGCTTTTTTGATGCAAACAGGACACTCTACCATCATCTGTTTTCCCATGGTTTAGGGTGCTTGTTATAGCTGCTCTGTCTTATGCCTAGTCTGTATCTTCTGTCCCAATACCTTCAAGAATTTAACATAGGGTGGTGAGACACTGGAACGAGTTTCCCAGGGAGGTTGTGGCTGCCCCATCCCTGGAATTGTTCAAGGCCAGGTTGGATGGGGCCCTGAGCAACCTGATCTAGTGGGAGTTGTACCTGCCCACGCAGGGGGGTTGGAACTAGATGATCTTTAAGGTCCCTTCCAACACAAAGCATTCCATGATTCTATGCATTCTTGCCTCAGTCATTTCTTCTGCTCGCAGCTACTCTCCACCTTAAGTCTTTTACCTAGCAAAGTACCACAGCACATGAAATTGTCCCATTAAGTAGGAAGCCTCTTTGCTTCCTGCTTGTGTTCAGTCTCTTCACCTGAGCATTGTACCTGAATAAATATTGTGCCAACCAGTATCCCCACAGCATCCCAGCAGTACCAGGCAATATCCTGGCCAATGCTTTTACGGGCATGGAATCAAGAAGCAATTACTGGTGCAGTGAGGTGGTGCCAGAATGGGAGTTAAACTTCCTAGTCCAGGGCCCCAGCCACAATTCAATAACTAAAATGGCTGGAATAATTTCCATTCTCTTTGCCCCTCCACACATCCCTTTTGTATCTCCTTTTTCTCCCTACCTCTGTGTTCTTTTTAGAATAGTATTTGGGTTGGAAGGGACTTAGAGCATTCATCTAACCCCAACGGCCTGACAACTTCAGAGGAGACCAAGTTAAAGTACATTATTAAGGGCATTGTCCAAATGCCTCTTAAATACCAATAGGCTTGAGGCTTTGGTCACCTCTTTCTATTATCTCCCAGCTGTCCCAATTCCCCTGGAACCTAAAAGGAAATTTAAAGGGGAAAAAATGCAAACACCTGGCACTTTCCAACTGCAATCTGGAGAGATGCTATTTTGTGCAGACCTTTCTAGTGAGACAGAGACTGGGTAACTGGCAAGCACAATCATAGAATCACAGAATAGTTTGGGTTGGAAGGGGCCTTAAATCATCTAGTTCCAACCCCCCTGCATGGGCAGGGACACCTCCCACTAGACCAGGTTGCTCAGAGCCCCGTCCAATCTGGCCTTGAACACCTCCAAGGAGGGGGCAGCCACAACCTCCCTGGGAAACCCTGTGCCAGTGTCTCACCACTACTAAGTCTTCCATTTCATAAGGTAATGCAGAACAAGAACCAGCTCCAGGGGCTGCTGGAGGGGACTATGAAACATGCACCTTACCTGTGAGTAATCCTCTGTCTCTCCTAGGTGGCAGCAGGCTTGCAGGTTGAACTGGAGATAGAGATTTTTGCCATGATAATTGGAAGCCACGATGCCCCTGGCCTTAAAGAAATTTCCCATGATATTGAAATAGTAACAGAAACAGAGACTCTTCTCCTGCCTGTGAGAGCAAATATCCTTTGTTGTCTTACTTTCCACACACACCCTCTACCATCAACCCTGGGGACCATCCACCTGTCAGGAGCCTTGAGCAGTTTCCAAGTGCAGGCTGCTGAGGTAGCAAGTTTTGCTGTCCTTTTCAGAAACATACAAAGGGGTGTTTTCAAAAGCACAACAGAAGAAAGGGTGAAAGTTTGTTTGTCTTTTAATCAAATTTACACTTAAAAGCCTGGGAGGTCTTCTGGATACCTCTAAAGAAATGGCAAGGCAAGGTGCTTCCAAACACACTAGAAACTCCACTCCTGGTAAGGGGCAGCCTTACCAAAAAAAAGAGAACTTCAGGGTCCTCTGAGACAGTACAAAGTACTAGCCAACAGCAAATCCATCAAGGCTTTAAACACTTTAGAAGTGACATTCAAACTCCCCAAATTCACTTCATAGTGACCCAATTAAGTCTTTAATGCCCATTATAACACGTTTCCCAGGGAGGTTGTGGCTGCCCTCTCTCTGGCAGTGTTCAAGGCCAGGTTGGATGGGGCTCTGAGCAACCTGGTCTAGTGGGACATGTCCCCGTCCATGCCAGGGGGTTGGAACTAGATGATCTTTAAGGTCTCTTCCAACCCAAACCGTTCCATGATTCTATGATTATTGTGAAGCTGAGCTAGACTGAACTGGAGGCGTAACAGCAAAACCAACTCCTGCTCTGTTGCCACTCACCAAGTCCTCAGTAACACACTTGCAAACCAGCCTCCAAGACATTTCCTTCCCCAGTATTTTACCTGGTCTTTTAAACTTTGAGTTGAGGGCAGTAGTACAGATTCCAGTTGTTTCACATCCTTACTTCCAGAATTCATCCCAGCCTCCACATGTATTATTTGAGTTAAATAAATGCACAGAAATTGTTAGATCCTTAACATGATGTTCCACCTGTGTTAACCACTGACGTGTACGAGTGCCGCCCACGAGGATACCCCCAGGGGGGGCTGGCAGCAACAATCCGGGTAGTTCCTCCAAGCCCCAGGGTTCTATTACCCCGAAAGCTTTCTAATTAATGTAAGTACTGAGTGCAGTGATACCAGCCATAAATCAAATCACAGTTGTTTTACCTCAGCTTCTGATCCATGTCATGAGCAAGCCCCACGCAACTGACAGCACAGCTGTCACACACGCCACACACACATGACAACCCAAGACAAGAAAAGGGAAGCACTAGGTGACATTAACCAAAGGACTCACTGCAAGAGATTTACAGACCACTACAGCTGCTGAGCTCAGTGGAGGCACTCACAGCAGAGCCTCCCAAGTCCTTCACTTAACTGTCTCCACATTAAACAAGTCACCAAGCCTTCTGGCAGCAGGAGGCTGGATTTATTGCAGTTAAGCCCTAATAAATCAGCCTCTATTTAACACTCTTCACTTTCTAAAACCAAGTCTTCCTG